GACCGTGGGTGAGGGAGACCGTGGGTGAGGGAGACCGTGGGTGAGGGAGACCGTGGGTGAGGGAGACCGTGGGTGAGGGAGACCGTGGGTGAGGGAGACCGTGGGTGAGGGAGACCGTGGGTGAGGGAGACCGTGGGTGAGGGAGACCGTGGGTGAGGGAGACCGTGGGTGAGGGAGACCGTGGGTGAGGGAGACCGTGGGTGAGGGAGACCGTGGGTGAGGGAGACCGTGGGTGAGGGAGACCGTGGGTGAGGGAGACCGTGGGTGAGGGAGACCGTGGGTGAGGGAGACCGTGGGTGAGGGAGACCGTGGGTGAGGGAGACCGTGGGTGAGGGAGACCGTGGGTGAGGGAGACCGTGGGTGAGGGAGACCGTGGGTGAGGGAGACCGTGGGTGAGGGAGACCGTGGGTGAGGGAGACCGTGGGTGAGGGACCGTGGGTGAGGGAGACCGTGGGTGAGGGAGACCGTGGGTGAGGGAGACCGTGGGTGAGGGAGACCGTGGGTGAGGGAGACCGCGAGGTGAGGAGACCGTGGGTGAGGGAGACCGTGGGGAGGGAGACCGTGGGTGAGGGAGACCGTGGAGGTGAGGGAGACCGTGGGTGGAGGGAGGGAACCGCCCCCTGGGTGAGGGAGACCGTGGGTGAGGGAGACCGTGGGTGAGGGAGGACGTGGGTGAGGAGCGACCGTGGGTGAGGGAGACCGTGGGTGAGGGGAGACCGTGGGTGAGGGAGGACCGTGCGGTGAGGGGAGACCGTGGGTGAGGGAGACCGTGGGTGAGGGAGACCGTGGGTGAGGGAGACCGTGGGTGAGGGAGAACGTGGGTGAGGGAGACCGTGGGTGAGGAGACCGTGGGAGGGGAGACCGTGGGGTGAGGGAGACCGTGGGTGAGGGACGGACCGTGGGTGAGGGAGACCGTGGGTGAGGGAGACGTGGGTGAGGGAGACCGGGGTGAGGGAGGACCGTGGGTGAGGGAGACCGTGGGTGAGGGAGACGTGGGAGGGGACCGTGGGTGAGGGAGACCGTGGGTGAGGGAGACCGTGGGGAGGGAGACCGTGGTGGAGGGAGACCGTGGGTGAGGGAGACCGTGGGTGAGGGAGGACCGGGGTGAGGGAGACGTGGGTGAGGGAGGACCGTGGGTGAGGGAGACACTGGGTGAGGGAGACACTGGGTGAGGGAGACACTGGGTGAGGGAGACACTGGGTGAGGGAGACACTGGGTGAGGGAGACACTGGGTGAGGGAGACCGTGGGGTGAGGGAGACACTGGGTGAGGGAGACGTGTGTGAGGGAGACCGATGGTGTGAGGGAGACCGTTGGTGAGGGAGACCGTGGGTTGAGGGACCGTGTTGAGGGAGACCGTGGTTTGAGGGGACCGTGGGTGAGGGAGACACAGTGTGAGGGAGACCGTGGTTTGAGGGAGACAGTGGGTGAGGGAGACGTGGGGAGGGAGACCGTGGGTGAGGGAGAACCGTGGGTGAGGGAGACAGTGGGTTGAGGGAGACCGTGGTTGAGGGGAGGTACAGTGGGTGAGGCGACCGTGGGTGAGGGAGGGACCGTGGGGTTAGGGAGCAGTGTGTGAGGAGACCGGGGTGAGAGACGTGGGAGAGGGAGACCTGTGGAGTGAGAGAGACCGTTGGGTGAGATAGACCGTGGGTGAGAGAGACAGTGGGTGAGAGAGACCGTGGGTGACGAGGAGGAACGTGGTGTGAGAGAGACCAGTGGGTGAAGAGGACGTGGGTGAGGTGAGGACCGTGGGTGAGGGAGGACCGTGGCGTGAGGGAGACGTGAGACCGCTTGGGTGAGGGAGACCGTGGTGAGGTGAGCGTGGGTGAGGGAGACCGTGGGTGAGGGGGAGACCGTTGGGTGAGGGAGAACGTGGGTGAGGGAGACGTGGGTGAGGGAGACCGTGGGTGAGGAGACCGTGGGTGAGGGAGACCGTGGGTGAGGGAGACCGTGGGTGAGGGAGACCGTGGGTGAGGGAGACCGTGGGTGAGGGAGACCTGTGGGTGAGGGAGACCGTGGGTGAGGGAGGACCGTGGGGTGAGAGAGACCGTGGGTGAGAGAGACCGTGGGTGAGAGAGACCCGTGGGTGAGGAGACCTGTGGTGAGAGAGGACCGTGGGTGAGAGAGACCGTGGGTGAGAGAGGACCGGTGGGTGAGAGGAGACCGTGGGTGAGAGAGACCGTGGGTGAGAGAGACCGTTGGTTGAGAGAGACCGTGGGTGAGAGAGACCGTGGGTGAGAGAGACCGTGGGTGAGAGAGACCGTGGGTGAGAGAGACCGTGGGTGAGAGAGACCGTGGGTGAGAGAGACCGTGGGTGAGAGAGACGTGGGTGAGAGAGACCGTGGGTGAGAGAGACCGTGGGTGAGAGAGACCGTGGGTGAGAGAGACCGTGGGTGAGAGAGACCGTGGGTGAGAGAGACCGTGGGTGAGAGAGACCGTGGGTGAGAGAGACCGTGGGTGAGAGAGACCGTGGGTGAGAGAGACCGTGGGTGAGAGGACCGTGGCGTGAGAGAGAGACCGTGCGGTGAGAGAGACCGTGGGTGAGAGAGACCGTGGGTGAGAGAAGACCGTGGGTGAGAGCGACCGTGGGTGAGAGAGGACCGTGGGGTGAGAGAGGCAAGTTGGTGAGAGAGGACCGTGGGTGAGAGAGACCTGTGGGTTGGAGATGAGACCGTGTGTGAGAGAGACCTTGGGGTTGAGGAGGACCGTGGGTGAGATGAGACGTGGGTGAGAGAGACCGTGGGTGTGAGAGAGGCCGTGGGTGAGAGAGGCCGTGGGTGAGAGAGCCTGGGGTGAGAGAGGCCGTGGGTGAGAGAGGCCGTTGGGTGAGAGATGGCGTGGGTGAGAGAGGCCGTGGGGACGAAGGCCGGGGTGACGAGGCCTGTTGGGGAGAGACCGTGGGGAGAGGCCGTGGGGGAGAGGCCTTGGGAGAGAGGCCGTGGGAGGTGGGGCAGATCGTGAGTGATCGTGGGAGACCGTGAGAGAGAGAGAGGGAGACATTGGGAGTTCGGGAGTGGAGAGACCACGAGAGACTTTGAGGGAGAGAGACGGTGGGTAATAGAGAGGGTGAGGCCGTGGGAGGCCGTGGGAGATTGTGAGAGGGAGATTTTGAGAGGGAGATTTTGAGAGGGAGATTGTCAGAGGGAGATTGTGTGAGGGAGATTGTGTGAGGGAGATTGTGTGAGGGAGATCGTGTGAGGGAGATCGTGTGAGGGAGGTCGTGTGAGGGAGGTCGTGTGAGGGAGATTGTCAGAGGGAGATTGTCAGAGGGAGATTGAGTGAGGGAGATTGAGTGAGGGAGATTGAGTGAGGGAGATTGAGTGAGGGAGATTGAGTGAGGGAGATTGAGTGAGGGAGATTGAGTGAGGGAGATTGAGTGAGGGAGATTGAGTGAGGGAGATTGTGCGAGGGAGATTGTGCGAGGGAGATTGTGCGAGGGAGATTGTGCGAGGGAGATTGTGCGAGGGAGATTGTGCGAGGGAGATTGTGCGAGGGAGATTGTGCGAGGGAGATTGTGCGAGGGAGATTGTGCGAGGGAGATTGTGCGAGGGAGATTGTGCGAGGGAGATTGTGCGAGGGAGATTGTGCGAGGGAGATTGTGCGAGGGAGATTGTGCGAGGGAGATTGTGCGAGGGAGATTGTGCGAGGGAGATTGTGCGAGGGAGATTGTGCGAGGGAGATTGTGCGAGGGAGATTGTGCGAGGGAGATCGTGCGAGGGAGATTGTGAGGAGAGACCATGATATAGAGAATGTGGGAGACATGGCGAGGGAGAAATCGCGAGTGGAGAGACCATGATGAGAGATTTCGGCGCCGATTTGAAACTTGCCGGCTGGCCCTGCTACGATCCATCTTGGGTTTAACCTGCAGGTTGAGTCGCAGTGTGAGGAGCTCACAAATACTTGAAAGATCTGGACACGGTCCCTATCATCGGCGAGCTCCTCCAAGGCTACGTTGACTGGGTCATGTTGCCTGCATGCCCGGCCACTGCACGCCCAAGCAGCTTCTTTCTGTTTGGCCGGATCGAGGGGGGCTAAACGGGCGCGGTACGGGCTAGAGAAGAGATGGAGTGATGTGGTACAGGAGGATGTGGAGCTGAGTGGACTTGATGATGACTGGTACCAGCGGTGTCAAAATTGGGCTCTGTGGAGGAGGCTCGTGAAGGACGCTGCTACTGGGCAGTTGGAGGCAGTCCCCTTCCACCAACAATGAAGGACAGAGGATGTGCGCTCACAACAACGAGCAGAGCGCCGGGCGACTAAAATGCACACATTTTGCACAGTAGGGGGCACAGGTGGTGGTGCATCTGCCAGTCATCTCAGTCAGAATCAGAATGGTTATTTAGACTGCAGGAGGAGGAATCCGATGAGCTCTGAAGCTCTTTTCCACAAATGTCCAGTATGGGCATGGGGAGTCAGCGATTTTCAACGGCAACCACACGATACAAACACGATACACACAAACACACGATACACACAAACACGATACATACAAACAAGATACACACAAACACGATACACACAAACACACGATAGGAGTGCAAAATAGAACAAAAGGTAAACAAGTCGTGAAATGGAAATTAATTATTTAAGTCCGATTTATCAAGATTGGGCAAGAAGCAAAAACATCAGTAGCCAAATTAAACACAACAACAAGCAGCAGTTCTAAAGAAATTAGGTGATGATTTAAAAGTGCATCGTAGTTCCCAGTGGCTTCCTCATACCGGAGAGGAAGAGCGTTCCAGACGTCTACCACAAGCAGCAGCAGAATCTGAAAGCGACATGCGACGCAGCAACGACCACTTTCTTTGTCCTACAGTTAGTAACCAGTGTCCGTGGTTTCTATATTCACGCCTTGTTTGCGATACGTCACAGGGGTGGGGCGAGGGAGATTAATTTCCCTTCGTGTGCCTCACTCTTTGCCCCAGTGCCAGGACGAGAACGATGAACGAGGGAGGAGAGATGAAGATCTACTGCCCGATCTGCAACTGGGTGGTGATCAGCCTCCCTGCCCTGGAGGACCACATGACGAAGCACAAGGGCCTGACCAAGTCTGTGCTGTACCAGTGCCCCCACTGCCCGTACAGCACGGAGGAAGCGGCTACTCTGATCGGCCACCAGAGGAGCCACGCCGACGAGAAGCTCTTCAAGTGCTGGGTGTGCGATGAAGTTTTCGCGAATTCAGGAGACTTCTGCTCCCATCAGAGCATGCACATCAATCGGGCACGACGCAGGAAGTCGATCGTCCCACTGCCAGGAGACGTCTCACCAGATGAGAGAACCCGCGCGGTCGAAAGGCCCTACCACTGCAATGTCTGCGGGGAGGACTTCACTCAGTCGCACCACCTCCTCAACCACAAGAGAATCCATACGAACGAGAAGCCGTACGCATGCACCGTGTGCGGAAAGGCGTTCGTGCGCTCGGACAACCTCGTCATCCACAGTCGGGTCCACACGGGCGAGAAGCCGTACAAGTGCGCCACTTGCGGCAAGGCATTCAACCAGTCGACGGCGCTCCTCAACCACAAGAGGACCCACACGGGCGAGAAGCCCTACGGGTGCACGGTGTGCGGGAAGCGATTCGCCCAGTCAAGGGTTCTTGTCAAACATGAGAGGACCCACACGGGCGAGAAGCCCTATGGGTGCGCCACGTGCGGCAAGTCCTTCGCCCAGTCGGGCACCCTGGGCATCCACAAGCGCACCCACACAGGCGAGAGACCGTACACGTGCGACGTGTGCGACAGATCGTTCACGCACTTGGGCACCCTCCACGTACACAAGAAGACGCACTCGGGTGGGAGGTCCCTCACGTGCCCCACGCGCGGGAAGGCCTCCTCTGAGGCAGGGCGCCTCCGGGCGTGCCGGCAGGCCCGCGCGGGCTCGAGCGCGTCGACGCCGCCGGCCCGTCCCCCCCTCCTCCGCCGCCGCGCCCGCGGTAGGGCCAGGCTGCACGAGGGTGCGACTGCCCCTGGGGAGGTCGTGGCGAGCCTCGGGGGCGAGGGTCCTGCGGCGACCCCCTCGGCGACCCCCTTGGCATCGCTAACATCAGAACGGGGAGAGACCCTCAGCTTCGAGACGTGGCCAGGGGTGAAGGTGGAATGCGACGGTGAAGATCCTTCCGCCTCCCTGCCGATCATGAAGCAGGAGTGTGGAGGGATCGCCAGCGTCGAGACTTGGCCAGGGGTGAAAATAGAACTGGGGGGGGAGGATTTTTCAGTTCCCCTCTCGATTGTGAAGCAGGAACAGGAAGAAAGCCCCAGCTGTGAGACACGGCTGGAGTGAAGGTGGCACACGGGTGGCCGAGTCTTTGCTTTGGGAACGGATGTTGAGGTCTACGTGGGAAGAGTAAAGGAGGATGCTCCAAGCAAGCATGTCGAGTGAGAGCGAGTCCTTGATTGGGACCTTTGTTAATTTGGTGGCATGGGTGGATAATGTGTACTACACAGAGGGGCAAGTCTCGTGGAGTGGAGATTAAATTCTCGAGAAGCTGACCGAGAGAGAAATGTTGAGAAAATTCCGCGTGATACATCGGCCGATCGAAAGCACGAGCGTATCTGCACGACTATGAAGGTACACAACGTGGAGACAATATTTTTTGTTCTGTGAACAGCTACACGTGAAGTTAAAATTACGTAGACTCTTTGTTTTATTTTATCAGGTAAGGGCCCACCACTGAGCCACGTAGCTCTTTTTAGAAGCGACTTGGCCATCACAAATGATACCTCAAGGAAGCGGCCTATCATCACGTGGACACTTATAGCAGCAGCCAAATACTCTCTTAACGCCTGGTGATGTTGATTTTAAATGTCGGGTGGTGGGGGTGGGGGGGAAACCAGAGGACCCGGAGAAAAATCTACATGAACCACATACAGCAGCCCGTGTCAGAACTGGGATTGAACCCACGACCTCCTGTATACCAGACGAGGTAGTTAACATCATGTCATCCAACGGAGGAGGAGACACCAAACCAGATTTTGAAGCAACACCTTTTCCGGACCTTTGCCGATCTTGAGGTGTTAAATGAATACACAAGACTTGATGAAAGAAAGTAAGTTGTGTATTACGTGCCCGTGCTTAATTTGTGTTTTGGATTATAATTCATCTTCTAAAACAAATCTGGACATTTCTCACACACCCCCAACTAAGGGCATCTCGCACCTCCAGGGAGTGCGTGCACCCCCTTTTCCAAACATATTAAGAGTGATTTTGCCTATTCTTAATGTAATAGTATTTATAGATCTGTTGTCTCGAGGGAGTTGAAATTGGCTTCTAAGAGGAAGCCGCAATAAAGGTAACTACACACAGATAATAGATGGAAATGACACACAACTTGGACAACCAGTTCAAAAGGGTAAGACAAAGCCAGAGAGGAACAATAACAGAACCATAGGGAACCAGGGGCCTCCACCAGACAGTGAGGTCCACCTAAAGGTGGGTAATAATTATTACAAGCCCGGGCTGGAGAAAGTTTAAAAGTTCAGCAGTGGAGTTACAAGCTTAGCTATACCTTCAACATCAGGATATCAAAACATAACTTGAGAATAAGAAGCGCGGATCCTTGGCGATACAGACGGGGAACAAAGGTTAATAGGACCCTCAATATCTTTGGTAACAATTACTGCATGCCACGAATCTTTGTTAAGCAGAGCCGGACTAATTATCCAGCCGTGGAAGCGGAGCCTGGCTGGATGCAGCCGAGTAAAATCACGCCGTGTGCTCGCATACACCCACTGACCCAACGCACTTTGCTGGGGACCTGAGGTATTTTCGGTAGGAGGAAGCACACCGCTAACAAGCCGATCACCGCCTCTGGACCCCAGAACCACCAATAGCAGAGATCGTACGTGGACAAACTCAAACCATACTACCCGCTATAATTATTGGACCTCTTGGTGACTGCCCTCCAGCACACACACACACAATGCGCATATCGGTACAAATAAGATTGTTCCGCGGGGTTTTGGTTTCGCATAAAGTTGCCATTCCAAGATGGTGTGTTACTGATTAACTGGTCGTGGAGAAGCATTGTTCTGTCCCTTAAATTGCATGGATACGGTCGTTTAGCAGTATTTTAGTCATTTGTTTCTTTTCATCACGTAATTTTGCCAATTTATTGATGTAATACTAGCCATTGATAAGCATCTATTAGCCATTGGCATGTCCACTTTTGTTTCTGGATATTTCTTTAATTGCATAATCACACCAATGAATTCATTGATGTTATACTAGCCATTGACAAGTATCTATTAGCCAAATCTACACACTGGCATGTACACTACTGTTTCGGGATATATTTCTCTAATTGCATAATCGCGTCGTTAAACTCACCACCACCCGACACAGCCAACTAGTAAGGGTTGTCACGTAAACAGAACATGCCAATTTGTCACTAGTACAGCTTGCCAGTGTGTTGGAGAGCCAAGCCACAACATTTACAATCTGAGTACAACATTTCGCCAGTAATTACAACTAGCTTCATCAGGCGACAGCCAGATTTGTGGAGAAGTCCACCTATTTGTTCCTTATATAGAGACGTAGATGTGGTGACGAAGCTTCTGCGCTCTTGAGTCAACGTACATTATGCATGTGCATTATGCTGGCCCATTGATCTTGTCCTTCCTGTCCATTGTGTGTATTAAAATTGCCGTACCAACGATAATCCCTATTGAAGTATGGTGGCCTGTATAGGTATGCATTTAAACAATGTATTTGATGATTCGCTTCCACACAGCACTAAGTAGCTATCTGAACGGTTAAAATAATTTGTATTTCTTTCAATGTCGATGAATTATCTAATTAGTCTTGGCCAGTAGTAGCTAATTTAGCACAGAACGTCAACATGATCAAAATAAATTGAGTGTCCTTGTTGGCACGCATGTTCTGCTAATGCTGACAGTTGTATTTGGGAGTATTTAATATTTATTTGGTGTTCTTTTAGTCTCGTGCTGATCATTCGTCGTGTTTGCCCAACATAGCATTTGCCACAATGATTTAGAAATTCGTTAAGTGTATCTTAGCCGTGTGGCCTGACCACCTATGTGTCATCCACATCTAAACTAAACAGAGGGTTTTCGTGTGCTTGAAGGTATTGCTTTTGTTTCAAAATTTCCCATGTACAAATTCGCTATCACAGGAGACAAAGGAGAGCCCATTGCTGCTCCTTACTTTTGTTTATAGAATTCACCTTTCCACAAGAAATAGATGTTCTTTAGACAGTGTTCAGCTAGTCTTGGGATATATTTGGCTAAACCTATGCTCGTTACCAGAGTGTCGAATAATTAAATTAACTCGTTTACCGGAACACATCAAAACTTACGAGGCTATCATTAGAGTTAAGCTTAATATGTTTAATTATACTTACGAGATGTTCAGAGTTTTTGATGAACGAAGAGGTCCTACCGATGTTGGGCTGTATTTGTTTCGTTACGTATTGTGTTAATTTGTATTTGGCAGAGCCTATTGTACTAACTATGATTCTTAATGGGACATCAGGTTTGTGAATCTTTGGTAGCCCATTAAGTCTTGGTGGTTTTGATGCCCTTGGTTTGATCAGGTATTACTCTTCCTTGTGTAGCCGGTATGGGCTTAATGTAAATGAACCACAAGTATAATTCATCTTGGTTCTTTCAGTAAAGTCACGTAGAAGGGAAATAATCAAATAATACAAATAAAACATAATAATTTATTTTTTATTATTTCCCTTCTACGTGACTTTACCGAAAGAACCAAGAAGATGAATCCCTGCAGTCACGAAAGCTTTAAATCGAAACACAAGTATATAATTGTGCATGAAAGTAATAATGGCCATGGATTGGGCCCATAGGGTCACGTGAGTGCACAGTAGGCCACGCCCACCAATGGAGTAGATAAAAAATTCAATTTTTGCATGGTGTACAGTCTGGAAAGTACCCACATGCCAAATTTCAACTTTGTTGCATGTCGGGAAGTATGCTAAACATTTTGAACAGACACACATTCACAAATTTCCCTTTTATAGAAATAAATTCATAAAGCGCTCTACCTAGCATTTACCTGTTATGTGTAGTACACCAGTAATTACCCTGTAATTTGCATGGGGTACGGGTAAAAGGTAGGGTAAAGGCAGGCTCGTTGCTTTTGACCTTTTACCTTACCTTGCTAAAGGGTAAAATTATGGGTAGAGTGATTGTATTGTGGTAAGGTAAAAGGTAGGGTAACGGTAGGCTCGTTGTTTTTACCTTTTACCTTACCTTGCCGAGGCCTAAATCGCACTAAATCGCTAATTTAACTAATTTAAATTTGACGGATGTGAAAAAGGAATAGCGCTTGCTCACGGCGTGGTACCTTGCTATTTAATTTTTATGTAAACTCCACCGTTGGAGAGCCAAGCACGCGACCACAAACAAACCCACACAAACCCACGCACAATTTTTGACTTTTATTTATATAGAAGATATATAGCCATGTGAGCCATGCGGCTCTTGACTCGGGTGCAACCACAACAAACAAAAACATGAACAAAGAACATCTTAAACTGACGACGCACAACAGAAAAATCCAGGAAAAAAACAGCAAAGTCTTCCAGAAAAAAAACACAGTATATCACCGCTGTGTATAAAATACCAGTGGGATGCAAGTCAAACACTAACAACCATAAGACAATGTAGATTAAAGTTATCAGGCTAACTCTGTACTTCAACAAACGTGGCTAAACCATATGTTTTCGAAATCGCCAAAATAAAGCTAAAAAATAATGTAACAATGATCATAGGAACTGTGATTCAAATTTAACAATAAACGATTTACATAACATGTACGACCAAACTTTGCAGCAGGAGTATCAAAATTTTTCAATGCACCTTTAAAGATCAGCACACTATAATCAAAACTCAAGATCTTCCTTTGCAGCGGTCATCCGTTGTATGTTGCTAAATTTCGTTTCATATTACGTACCGTGTTACTGTGTTACTATATACTGATAATCTACATATATAGAAAAGGCAAAGTTGTGAATGTGTCTGTTCGAAATGTTTAGCGTACTTCCCGACATGCAACAAACTTGAAATGTGCCATGTGGGTAGCTTCCAGACTGTACACAATGCAAAACGTATGAAAATAGACTTTTGTATTTTTTTTGGGGGGGGGGGCTCAATAATGCATATATTTTGAACGGCAAGTGAGCTCTGACGTCACGTCTGTCCGTTGCCCACCGGTCGCATCGTCACGTCTCTTCGCCCCCCCCCCCCCCACTAGTCGTGACATCATGTCTCTTCGTCCAACCACCCACCTCTCATGACGTCACGTCCCTTCGCCCCCACCCCCCACCGGTCGGATCGTCACGTCCCTTCGTCGTCCACCGGTCGTGACGTCACGCCGGCGTCGGATGCTCCCATTTTGCTCGCCCCCCCCCCTACGTCACTCGCACGCGACGGAAGGATTCTGACGGAGAGGAAGCGGAGGCCGTGGGTGAGAGACCGTGGGAGAGAGGCCGTGAGTGAGAGGCCGTGGGGGAGAGACCGTGGGGGAGAGGCCGTGGGTGAGAGGCCGTGGGGGAGAGGCCGTGAGTGAGAGGCCGTGAGTGAGAGGCCGTGAGTGAGAGGCCGTGGGGGAGAGGCCGTGAGTGAGAGGCCGTGGGGGAGAGGCCGTGGGGGAGAGGCCGTGAGTGAGAGGCCGTGGGGGAGAGGCCGTGGGGGAGAGACCGTGGGGGAGAGACCGTGGGAGAGAGACCGTGGGGGAGAGACCGTGGGAGAGAGGCCGTGGGTGAGAGACCGTGGGTGAGAGACCGTGGGGGAGAGGCCGTGGGTGAGAGACCGTGGGGAAGAGAGGCCGTGGGTGAGAGAGACCGTGGGGGAGAGGCCGTGGGTGAGAGACCGTGGTTGAGAAGCCGTGGGGGAGAGACCGTGGGGGAGAGACCGTGGGTGAGAGGCCGTGGGGGAGAAGCCGTGGGGGAGAGGCCGTGAAGGAGAAAGTGAGAGGGAGTGAGAGGGAGTAAGAGAGGGGGAGGTGGGGGAAGATCGTGAGTGATCGTGGGAGACGGCGAGAGGAGAGAGACCGTGGGAGTTCCTGATTGGAGAGACTTTGAGGGAGATATGCCGTGAGAGAGAGAGACCGTGGGAGAGAGGGAGATTGTGAGTGGGAGATTGTGAGTGGCAAATTGTGAGTGGGAGATTGTGAGTGGGAGATTGTGAGTGGGAGATTGTGAGAGGGAGATTGTGAGAGGGAGATTGTGAGTGGGAGATTGTGAGTGGAAGATTGTGAGTGGGAGATTGTGAGTGGGAGATTGTGAGTGGCAAATTGTGAGTGGGAGATTGTGAGAGGGAGAATGTGAGAGGGAGATTGTGAGTGGGAGATTGTGAGTGGGAGATCGTGAGTGGGAGATCGTGAGTGAGAGATCGTGAGTGGGAGATCGTGAGTGGGAGATCGTGAGTGGGAGATCGTGAGTGGGAGATTGTGAGTGGGAGATTGTGAGTGGGAGATTGTGAGTGGGAGATTGTGAGTGGGAGATTGTGAGTGGGAGATCGTGAGTGGGAGATCGTGAGTGAGAGATCGTGAGTGGGAGATCGTGAGTGGGAGATCGTGAGTGGGAGATCGTGAGTGGGAGATCGTGAGTGGGAGATCGTGAGTGGGAGATCGTGAGTGGGAGATTGTGAGTGGGAGATTGTGAGTGGGAGATTGTGAGTGGGAGATTGTGAGTGGGAGATCGTGAGGGGGAGATCGTGAGGGGGAGATCGTGAGGGGGAGATCGTGAGTGAGAGATTGTGAGACATCGCGAGGGCGAAATCGCGAGTAGAGAGATCATGAGAGATTTCTGCGCTGGTTTGAAACTTGCAGGCCGGCCCTGCCTACGATCCATGGTGGGTTTAACCTGCAGGCTGAGTCGCAGTGTGAGGAGCTCACAAATTCTTGAAAGATCTGGACACGGTCCCTATCATCGGCGAGCTCCTTCAAGGCTACATTGACTGGGTCATGTAGCCCGCATGTCCAGCCACCGCGCATGCCCAAGCAGCTTCTGTTTGGCCCGATAGTGGGGGGCGAACCGGGCGTGGTACGGGCTGGAGATGAGATGGCGCTGATGCGGTACGGGAGGATGTGGAGCCGAGTGGACTTTCCAACGACTGGCACCAGCGGTGTCAAGATCGGCCTCTGTGGAGGAGGAGGCTCGTGAAGGATGCTGCTACTGGGCAGTTGGGGGCAGTCCCCCTCCAGCAACAACGGAGGGCAGAGGAGCGACGCTCACAACAACGAGCAGAGCGCCGGGCGACTAAAACGCAGCAAGTTTGCACAGTAGGGGGCACAGGTGGTGCATCTGCTAATCAACTCAGTCAGAATCAGAATCTTTATTTAGACTGCAGGAGGAATCCGATGAGCTATGAAGCTCTTTTCCACATGTCCAGTATGGTCATGGGGAGTCAGCAATTTACAACGGCAAACACACTATACACATAAACACACGATACACACAAACAATACACGCAAACACGATACACACAAACAAACGATAGGAGTGCAAAATAGAACAAAAGGCAGGCAAGTCGTGAAATGGAAATTATTGTTTAAGTTTGATCTATCAAATTGGACAAGGCAGCAAAAATAACTACAGAACAGTAGCCAACCGCGCTAATAGGATGTGCAGGGGAAGGACAACACAACAACAAGCAGCAATTCTAAAGAATTGAGTTTGTTAATCTAGATGATGATTTAAAAGTGCATCGTTGCTCCCAGTGGCTTCCTTATACCGGAGAGGAAGAGCGTTCCAGATGGCCGCCACAAGTAGCAGCAACATCTGAAAGGGACATGCGACGCAGTGGCGACCACTGCCTTTGTTCGACGTTTAGCAACCGGTGTCGGTGGTTTCTAGCTTCACGACCTGTTTGCGATACTTCGCAGGGGCGGGGCGAGGGAGATTAATTTTCCTTCGTATGCCTCACTCTTTGCCCCAGTGCCAAGACGGGAACGATGAATGAGGGAGGAGAGATGAAGATCTACTGCCCGATCTGCAACTGGGTGGTGATCAGCCTGCCCGCCCTGGAGGACCACATGAAGCAGCACAGGCGCCGGACCGAGTCTGTGCTGTACCAGTGCCCCTACTGCCCATACAGCACGGACAAAGCGGCCACTCTGATCGGCCACCAGAGGAGCCATGCCGACGAGAAGCTCTACAAATGCTGGGTGTGCGATGAAGTTTTCGCGAATTCGAAAGACTACTGCTCCCATCAAAGCATGCACATCAATCGGGCGCGACGCAGGAAGTCGATCGTCCCACCGCCAAGAGACGTCTCATCAGAAAAGAGAATCCGCGTGGGCGAGAGGCCCTACCACTGCAATGTCTGCGGGGTGGACTTCACTCAGTCGCAACACCTCCTCAAACACCAGAGGATCCACACGAACGAGAAGCCGTACGTGTGCGCCGTGTGCGGCAAGGCGTTCGTGCACCCGAGCACCCTCGTCATCCACACTCGGGTCCACACGGGCGAGAAGCCGTACAAGTGTGCCACGTGCGGCAAGGCATACAGCCGATCGACGGCTCTCATCCACCACAAGAGGACCCACACGGGCGAGAAGCCCTACGGGTGCACAGTGTGCGGGAAGCGATTTGCCCTGTCGAAGGTTCTCGTCAAACATGAGAGGACCCACACGGGCGAGAGGCCCTACGAGTGCACCACGTGCGGCAAGTCCTTCACCCAGTCGGGCACCCTGGGTATCCACAAGCGCACCCACACAGGCGAGAGACCGTACACGTGCGACGTGTGCGGCAGGTCGTTCACGCACTTGGGCACCCTCCACGTACACAAGAAGACGCACTCGGGTGGGAGGTCCCTCACGTGCCCCACACGCGGGAAGGCCTCCTCCGAGGCAGGGGGCTTCCGGGCGTGCCGGCAGGCCCGCGTGGGCTCTAGCGCGTCGACGCCGCCGGCTCGTACCCCCCTCCTCCGCCGCTGCGCCCGCGGGCGGACCGGGCTCCACAAGGGTGGGACTGCCGCTGGGGAGGTCGTGGCGAGCCTCGGGGGCGAAGGTCTCATGGCAACCGACTCAGAAACCCCCTCGGTGACCCCCTCGGCTACCCCCTCGGCATCGCTAACATCAGAATACGGAGAGACCCTCAGCTTTGAGACGTTGCCAGGGGTCAAGGTAGAATGCGTCGGTGAAGATCCTTCCACCTCCATTCCGATCGTAAAGCGAGAGCGCGGAGGGATTGCCAGCTTCGAGATGTGGTCAGGGGTGAAGGTGGAATGTGATGGTGAAGATCCTTCTGCCTCCTTACCGATCGTGAAGCGGGAACGGGAAGAAAGCCCCGACTGTGAGACGCGGCTGGGGTGAAGGTGGCACACTGGAGGCCGAGTCTCTGCTTTGGGAACGGATGTTGAGGTCTATGTGGGAAGCGTGAAGGACACTCCAATCAAGCATGTCGAGTGAGTCCTCGACTGGGACCTTTGTTAATTTGGTGGCGCGGGTGGAGGAGGTGCACTACACAGAGGGGGCAGGTCTCTTAGAGTGGAGATTATGGCGTGCGATACAACGGCTGTTCGAAAGCACGAGCGAGTCTGCACGACTGTGAAGGTACACAATGTAGAGGCAATATTTTTTGTTCTGAGAACAGATACACGTGAAGTGAGAACTACATAGACTTTTATTTTACCAGGTAAGGGCCCACCACTGAGCCACATAGCTATCTTTCAGAAGCGACCTGGCCAACACAAATTATACCTCAATGAAGCGGCCTACCATCACGTGGACACTTATAGCAGCATACTCTTAGGTTTTTTCGGTAAAGTCACGTAGGGGAAAGTAAATAAATAATACAAATACATAACAATAGAAATAAAATAATAAATCACGACGTTTCGTAGGCAGCACAAGCTTCCATCATATTTATTATTTTATTTCTATTATAATTTCTACTATTTGTATTATAACATTTTCTTATTTATTTATTTTTCCCTACGTGACTTTCCTGAAAAAACCTAAGAGTATGAATCCCTACAGTCACGAAACCTTCAAATCTAGAACTTATAGCAGCAACCAAATACAGTAAAATCTTGGATTGTGAGCATAATTCGTTCCGGAAACGTGCTTGTAATCCAAAGTACTCGTATATCAGTTGTGATCACGTGACGCTCGGCAGACAAAGCGTACTACTCGTATTGCAAGACCTCGCTCGTTTATCAAATTTATATTTATTTAAAAATGTTGCTCGTCTTGCAAAACACTCGCAGACCAAGTTGCTCGCAATCTAAGGTTTTACTGTACTCTCTAAACGCCTGGTGATGTTGATTCTAAACGTCGGGGTGGGGGTGGGGGTGAAACCTGAGGACTCTGCTTGACAACCACCAAGGAGACGGAAGCGTCGATGCCAGAGGTCGCAACCGGGTACCCGATACCTGTACCCTACCCGATACCCGGCTACCCGTACCCGGCCGGGTACGGGTAGCCGTTTGCGACCCTGCTGCGGCCGGGTACGGGTAGGCCGTGAGTCACTGGTGAGTAACCGTTTGTCACTCATTTCCCAACGTCTTGTCTCTCATTTCCCAACGTCTTGTCTCTTCTCACAATTAAAGTTCCTAGAATCAACCCACCCGCGCCTGCAACATGGCTTCATCCCAGAGGTCGCAATCAGGTACCCGATACCCGTACCATACCCGGCCAGGTAGGGTACGGGTACGGCCGGGTACGGGTACCCGTTTGCGACCCTGGTGCGGCCAGGTACGGGTAAGGAATCAAAACCCGTTTGCGACTTCTGGCCTATGCTGGCATCTTCTTCACATTCTTCTTGTCGTACGGCTGCCGATGTAGATGCAGAGACAAACGACTGTAATTTCGCATTCACCAGGTGGTCTAGCCCAGATGATGCGTCAGGAGGACCAGTAAGCGGAGGAGCGTAGCATACCGCACCATCGCTCGTCCGGTTTCATGCAGCAGGGGGAAGAGGCGCACCGAGTGACCCCTCCGCCCCACCCCCTCCATGAGCTCCATCCAGAGGTCGCAAACGGGTTTTGATTCCTTACCCGCACCCGGCCGCACCAGGGTCGCAAACGGGTACCCGTACCCGGCCGTACCCTACCCATACCCGGCCGGATACGGGTAGGGTATGGGTATCGGGTACCTGATTGCGACCTCTGGGATGAAGCCATGTTGCAGGCGCGGGTGGGATGATTCTAGGAACTTGAATTGTGAGAAGAGACAAGACGTTGGGAAATGAGTGACAAACGGTTACTCACGAGTGACTCACGGTCTACCCGTACCCGGCCACACCAGGGTCGCAAACGGGTACGGGTAGCCGGGTACGGGTAGCCGGGTATCGGGTAGGGTACGGGTATCGGGTACCCGGTTGCGACCTCTGGCTCCATCTGAATCGCCCCCCCCCCTCCCGTTCATAACGTAGCACGGTTTCGTAAGTCGTGTACGGCGCCGTATTTAAATGCCCGCACGGTCGGTGTTGTGAAACGTGTTACGGTTCAACGCAACAAAAAGGGTGACGCACCGTTAATACCTCATAAATTAAGAGAAAACGTCGTACATTTGCATGTAATACTGGACTGTAACAAATACCGCACCGTAAATCTAACCTATAAACGTAATTTTTTGGCTGTTTGTATGTCTCTCTGTGTGTGCGCCTTGTAATAATATTAACTGACAAACTATTGGGTTTACGTTTCAACAGAGTACACAAATACAACAAACTAAGCCCCTGGATGAACACTTGCTATTTGTTTTTGCCCTTGGTTCCATCTAAACTAAGAAAATCACACTTTGTACAATGTACGCTCATCTTGATAACTGAGCCGCGCCAAAGCACGCATCTGCTCATGTGCAACGCCGACTGGCAGTTCCCCCTAGCAACACAAACACAGTTGTTTAGCGACGACGGGAGGTTCTCTCGCGTTAAAGATTTGGTGGTCATATTGTTTACGAGAAAAAATGCCTCCAAAACAAACAAAGAGAGTGGCGGCACTGTGGCGTGCAAAACAAACAATGTAACTTTACCGAAAGAACCAAGAATATAATGCAGGAGCAGTACATACATACAACTTAATAAAAAATACTATCCATAAATTTCATGGGTTAGATCGCGTAAATATCAAAGTGTCGTTAAACCCACCACCGCCAATTAGTAAGTTTGTCACGTAAACAGAACATGCCAATTCGTTACTAGTGTAGTGGGTTCCAGGAGACTTGAGACGTCTTTCGAGGCAACACGGTTTATTTGTAAACTACAACATAACTCCCCTAACTCCCACTCTCTAGGGAGGTACAGCCTCCGGGCTAACGTGCCCTCACACTCAGTAATCCTGGCTCTCAGCCCTCCGGCTATCTGTGCCCTAGGGGAGGCTAACTGACCCGACCCAGCCAAGGTACGGGTCCTGACCACTGGTCCGCGCTCGGCACCAGCCCTTACAAGGACGTCGGGTCCCAGGGTCCCAGGGTACTAGCTAGACTGTTCTTCTGTTCTTCGTCTTCGGAACACTCAAGGGTGCCACAGTCGGGTTTTTTACAATCGGGTTTAATTGTCTTTTTATATTAAACCCGATCATCTGAGATTGGGAGAACCGCACTTCTCAACAATGGGCTTCATCCATTCCAAGCTAAGGAACTCACTGGCGCCTAACGATTGTGGAGAAGCTCGTGTTCATCAAGACCAACCTGCTCGCATTCTACGACTACCCCGTGCTCGACGGCCCCGAGTACGATAGCAGCACCAATGAGGAAGAAGCCTAAGCCTATCAGAGTTTCGTATTCATTAAACCAGGTTTTAATTCCCCGAAATCGGGTTTAATTGTATTAAAGAAAAAACCCGATGCCTGCCGCTGGAAAAATTGGGTTTTTTCCACCCATGGGAACACTGCCCCGAGCTTGTCCCAGAGGTGCCCCTTTTATACACCTCTCGGGGGCTCTCCGCCCCCGGTACCACCCCCTCTCTGGAACCTTCCAGGGGGCTCTGGAAGAACCCCCCAACCCCTCACCTGGTGTCTGGGACCCTGGCTCCTCAACGGTCCGGCTCTCTCTAACCTTTCCCAGCTCAGTGTGGCACCCCCTATGGGCCTGTGCCCACAACTGTAGGTAAGTATATATACCGACGGTATAAGATGTGCATTTCCGACGCTAAACTAGTTTCATGACTCTCGGACGACACAAAGTATAGAGGGCATTCTTTATTTTGATTAGGGCGCTTCACGCAGATAACTTGGACAAGGATGACACGCAAATAACGATGACGCGAAGACAGCGGCAACGCGAAGACCGCACCGACATGAAGACAGCGACGGCGTGGAGACGACCCCGATCCCATGGCAGCCCGAACCGTGCTTGTCGCCTCCTTTTATCACTCACTCCGCCCCTGGCCACGCCCCCTTTCTTGAACTCTCTGGCCCATTCCTGAACTTCCATGGCGATTCCCCCTTGCGACAACTCGACGTCTTATTTATCAACCCTGTAATTCCCGATCGTGACCGCTAGTCCACGGACTGTCTTTGCACCCGCACCGTCTCCACACACATACTGTCTCCACACACATACTGTCTCCACACATGCACTTTCTCTACACTAGTACAGCACACCGGTGTGTTGGAGAGTAAATCCACAATCACAATCTGAGTACGACGTTTCGCCGCCGCCGACGTCTTCACCGCACTTGTGCGACTCGCACGCGTCGTGTGTCTAGTTTGTTGTCATTTCCCCGCACCTGCAATTAGCAGAGTTGACTCCACCGTGGCGAAATGTTAACTAGCTCTCCTGGTATACAGGTCTTGGGTTCTCTGAGATCCCTGGATAACTAGTGTGTGGTCCTTCGACAATGCTCCTTGGACCTCAGCATGCCATTGTTGTACGTCGACTTCAACCTGTTAGAGGGAATTATTAACACCCACACAGACCCTCTTTGCGAAGCGAGTGATCTAGTTTAACGGCGGCTGATGTGAAGACATTCGATTGCCTGGTCCCTCTGCTGTCCGTCTGTTCTGTAGGGGGCGAACCTGTTTCCAATGACCAGCTGCAAAGCACAACAAACAAAAGTTGGCCCTACTGCAGTGCAGTAGTGTTGTGTGGTTTTCTTCATTGCACACACCACACGCCTTGAGTAATCGCAATAGGTTTCCTCTCATCAGATGTTGTCCCATCCCAGACACTTGTACCTGCTGCTCCAAGACCCTGTCCAACCTATTGATCAGCCTCCTTATGTGCAATGTGTCGGTGGTCTCCTGACCTCCCATGGGTCCCCGAGTTGATGAGTCCTTTTGAAGGTTTCCTCTAGGGTTTTCTGCAACACAACCTCGGCTGCCAAATGACAATGGCTTATAAGGAAAAGAGTCACGGCACCAAGTGTAACCGGCCCGCCCTATCCCTCTCCTCCCGTGTTCATTACGAGGGGTCAGGCCGGTTAATGAGTACAAAAAAAACAATTATAGTAGATGAGTTCGGAGGCGATGAGTGGATACTCTGCGTTGTGATCTGCCCTCCTGAGAATTGGATGACTCCACCACCAAGGGACACCATAGGATTGTGTGACTGCAACTCTTTATTTCAAAGTGTTCTTCTGAGGAGCATTCGTGCGTCTGTACGACATCTACCTGAATCTGAATAGGCGTCCTGTACCCTGAATTAATTACTCTACTGGTGGGCGTGGCCTACTGTGCACCCACGTGACCCTATGGGCTTAATCCATGGTCATTATTATATTCATTCACAATTATACTTGTGGGTCATTTACATTAAGCCCATACCGGCTACACAAGGAAGAGCAATTCCTGATCAAACCAAGGGCATCAAAACCATCATGACTTTATGGGCTACCAAAGATTCGCAAACCTGATGTCCCATTAAGAACCATAGTACAATAGGCTCTGCCAAATAGAAATTAACACAATACGTAAGGAAACAAATACAGCCCAACATCGGTAGGACCTCTTCGTTCATCACAAACTCTGAACATCTCGGAAATATAATTAAACATATTAAGCTTAACTCTAATTATAGCCTCGTAAGTTTTGATGCGACTTCTCTTTTCACGAGGGTTCCGGTAAACGAGTCAATTAAATTACTCGACACTCTGGTAACGAACATAGGTTTAGCCAAATATAGCCCAAGACTAGCTGAACACTGTCTAAAGAACATCTATTTCTTGCTAGGGGCAGCAATGGGCTCTCCTTTATCTCCTGTGATAGCGAATTTGTACATGGAAGATTTTGAAACAAAAGCAATAGCTTCAAGCACACTAAAACACTCTGTTTAGTTTAGATGTGGATGACACAAAGGTGGTCTGGCCACGCGGCAAAGATAAACTTAACGAATTTCTAAATCTCAACTCGCAAAACCCATCCATCCAGTACACCATGGAAGTGGAAGCTGACAGAACTCTACCATTTCTGGATATTCTGCTCGGACGGGGTCAAAATGATCAAATAACACAGCATTTGCCAAAAGAAAAAGCACACCGACGCCTATCTGAATGCAGTCACACCATCGCCCCACACAAAAATCTGCTCTCATCAAGACGCTCATTCATCGGGATAAGAAAGTATCAGATGGTGATAGTCTGAGAAGCGAAATTAAACATGTTAAGGAAGCGCTGCAAATGAACGGTTACAATGATGCACAAATCAACAGGGCATTGAATGCCACAATCAAATCAAATAACACGAGCATTGAAACTTCCCAAGTAATTAAAACGATCAAAATACCATACATTGCGGGAGTAACTGATAAACTAGCCAGATGTTTGGAAAAACAAAACATTCGAATTAGATTTGGCACGGTACATAAAATACAGAAATTAATATCTGGTACAAAAGAGGTATTACCGAAGCTATCAACAGAAGGTGAGTATCGGATTAACTGCACTTGTGGCAAATGCTATGTTGGGCAATTAGGGCGAATGATCAGCACGAGACTAAAAGAACACGAAATAAATATTAAATACTCCCAAATACAACTGTCAGCAGTAGCAGAACACGCGTGCCAACAAGGACACTCAATTTATTTTTTATCATGTTCTGTGCAAAACTAGCTACTACTGGCCAAGACTAATTAGATAATCAATCGATATTTAAAGAAATAAAAATAATTTTAACCGTTCGGATAGCTACCGACTTAGTGCTGTGTGAAAGCGAATCATCAAATACATTGTTTAAATGCATGCCTATACAGGCCACCATACTTCAATAGGGATTACCGTTGGGACGGCTATTTTAATACACACAATGGACAGGAAGGACAAGATCAATGGGCCAGCATAATGTGCAAGCATAATATACGTTGACTCAAGAGCGCAGAAGTTTCGTCACCACATCTACGCATCTATATAAGGAATGAAAAGGTGGACTTCTCCATAAATATGGCTGTCGCCTGATGAAACTAGTTGTAATTACTGGCAAAATGTTGTACTCAGATTGTAAATGTTGTGGCTTGGCTCTCCAACACACTTGCAAGCTGTTCTAGTGACAAATTGGCATGTTGTTTACGTGACAACCCTTACTAGTTGGCTGTGTCGGGTGGTGGTGGATTTAACGACACGATTACGCAATTAGAAAAATATATCCCAAAACAATAGTGTACATGACAATGCGTAGATTTGGCTAATAGACGCTTATCAATGGCCATGTATGACATCAATGAATTGGTATGCTTATGCAATTAAAGAAATATCCAGAAAGAATAGCGTACATGCCAGTGTGTAGATTTGGCTAATAGATGTTTATCAATGGCCCGTATGACATCAATGCATTAATTGCCAAGATTACGTGATGAAAAGAAACAAATGACTAAAATACTGCTAAACGACCGTATTCATGCAACTTCAGGGACAGAACAATGCTTCTCCACGACCAGTTAATCAGTAACACACCATCTTGGAATGGCAACCTTATGCGAAACCAAAACCCCGCGGAACAATCTTATTTGTACCGATATGTGCATTGTGTGTGTGTGTGTTGGAGGGCAGTCACCAAGAGGTCCAATAATTATAGCGGGTAGTATGGTTTGACTATGTTCACGTACGATTTCTGCTATTGGTGGTTCTGGGGTCCAGAGGCGGTGATCGGCTTGATAGCGGTCTTTCCTTGAAACGAAAACACCTCAGGTCCCCAGCAGGATGCGTTGGGTTGGTGGGTGTATGTCGGCACACGGCATGTGATTTTACTCCGCTGCATCCAGCCAGGCTCTGCGTCCACCGCTGCAGTGGTTGTCGAGTCGGCATGCTGCTCACGCTGACTGCGGTGCCCGTGCTGGCAGAGATCGATGGGTCTGGCTCCGTCTACAGTCATGTGCGCGATGGTCACGTCGCCAGATATCGCTTGCAGCTCGTCCGCCGGCGGCAGTGCGTCACCCCCCTTGGCACCAGACACGGTTGACCCTTGCAGAGTGAGGAACGGCTGGGAGAGACAGCGCCCGTCATGTCTTCCCCCCTCTTTCCGAGAGTCATCCAGCAGTTGTCTGTACGTCTCGTTCTCTGCTCAGTGGACACGCTCCAGATCAGGTTATATCGTTCCGTGTCAGTCTCTGGTTCGACCCTCACTATCCTTCGCCTGTGGGTTGACTAAGTACTGGGCACACTCACGAGTAGTGGTGGCCTCAGGTCTTCCTTCAAAGATGTTGACTTTGATCGGAGCACGATAGGAATAATCCTCACACTATGGTCGTGTGTGTAGGCTGTAGAAAGTCTTGTTCACAGTTCTCTCCCACACGTCTTGTATCGCAATGCTGCGAGTGCAAGCCTTTGCTTGGAAGTGGCTCACCCAATGACACGTATGAAAATAAGATTAAAAAAAAAACTCCCTGTGATGCATGGAGTCTACCGGTCTAGAGCTCAATATTATTGCCAGTCACGAGGACAAGTCCCGGAGCCCGCCTCTGGCAGAACAGACTTCTGTGGTTTAGCGTTTCGCTTATATCCTACATTTTTCTTCTTCGGCTCTGTCTTCTCACAAAGCACCAGAATTATTTTGATTCCGCTCCTTGGCTCGTCATTGGTCAGGACACCTTTTGATTTTGCTATCACAAAGCAGCAGCTGTGGGCCTTTGAAGTCGAGACCTTGTGTCCGGGTGTGCGTCACCACCGCCATGTTATCCGTTCACGTTTTGAGCAGCATTTGCTGCACTCCCTGTCACGATTGGAACTTATGCATTTAGAATCAACATCACCAGGCGTTTAGAGAGTAACTGGCTGCTGCTATAAGTGTCCACGTGATGGTAGGCGGCTTCATTGAGGTATCATTTGTGATGGCCAAGTCACTTCTAAAAAATTAACCCGTAAAAACTAAGTTTTTCACTATAAATCCTTTATATGCGTGGCATCGGTTTTATTTTATTATTCATTTCTGTTTTTCTTGAGTAAGAGTTCAATTTTTATCACATTGGTATTTTAAATTAAATATGAAAAAAAAATTTCCCTAAAAAGTGGAAAATTTTGGAAAAAAATATTCACGAAAATAAATTGTCACGCACAACGAGTCTGTGTGCAAAATGTCAGCTCGATTGGATCACGGGAAGTGGGTTAAAAAACGACCGAAAGATTTGCACAGTCGTAAGCGCGCAAGCAAGCAAGTGAACTTAATATAAAGGATTTAAAAAGAGCTACGTGGCTCAGTGGTGGGCTTTACCTGGTAAAATAAAACAAAGAGTCTACGTAGTTTTCACTTCACGTGTATCTGTTCTCAGAGCAAAAAATATGGCCTCCACATTGCGTGCCATAACAGTCGTGCAGACGCGCTCGTGCTTTCGAATGGCTGATGTAATGCACGGCATTTTTTCTAAATTGATCTTTCTCGATCAGCTTCTCCTCCACCCACACCACCAAATTAACAAAGGTCCCAGTCGACGACTTACTCTCACTCGACATGCTTGCTTGGAGCCTCCTCCTTGACTCTTCCCACGTAGACCTCAACTTTTGTTCCCAAAGCAGAGACTCGGTCTCCCGTGTGCCAACTTAACCCCAGCCGTGTCTGACAACCGGGGCTTTTTTCCTGTTCCTGCTTCACGATCGAAAGAAGAACTGAAGAATCCTCCCCCCCAAGTTCTACTTTCACCCCTGGCCAAGTCTCGCGCTCCTGCTTCATGATCTGTAGGGAGGCAGAAGGATCTTCACCGTTGCATTCCACCTTCACCCCTGGCCACGTCTCGAAGCTGAGGGTCTCTCCGTGTTCTGATTTTAGCGATGCTGAGGGGGTCGCCAAAGGAGTCGCAGAGGGGGTCGCTGCGGGACCCTCGCCCCCGAGGCTCGCTACGATCTCCTCAGTGGCAGTCACGCCCTCGTGGAGCCTGGCCCTACCGCGGGCGCGGCGGCGGAGGAGAGGGGGACGGGCCGGCGGCGTTGACTCGCTCGAGCCCGCGCGGGCCTTCCGGCATGCCCGGAGGCTCCTTGCCTCGGAGGAGGCCTTCCCGCGCGTGGGGCACGTGAACGCCCTCCCGCCCGCGTGCGTCTTCTTGTGTACTTTGAGGTTGCCCAAGTGCGTGAACGATCTGTTGCACACGTCGCACGTGTACGGTCTCTCGCCTGTGTGGGTGCGCTTGTGGATGCCCAGGGTGCCCGACTGGGCGAATGACTTTCCGCACGTGGCGCACTTGTAGGGCTTCTCACCCGTGTGGGTCCTCTCATGTTTGACGAGAACCCTCGACTGGGCGAATCGCTTCCCGCACACCGTGCACCCGTAGGGCTTCTCGCCCGTGTGGGTCCTCTTGTGGTTGAGGAGCGCTGTCGACTGGTTGAATGCCTTGCCGCACGTGGCGCACTTGTACGGCTTCTCACCCGTGTGGACCCGATTGTGGATGACGAGGGTGTCCGAGCGCACAAACGCCTTGCCGCACACCGTGCACACATACGGCCTCTCGCCTGCGAGGATCCTCTCTTCCGGTGAGACATCTCCGGGCAGTGGGACGATCGACTTCCTGCGTCGTACCCGCTTCATGTGCACGCTCTGATGGGAGCAGAAGTCTCCCGAATTCGCGAAAACTTCACCGCACACCCAGCACTTGTAGGGCTTCTCGTCGGCGTGGCTCCTCTGGTGGCCGATCAGAGTGGCCGCTTTGTCCGTGCTGTACGGGCAGTGGGGGCACTGGTACAGCACCAACTCGGTCCGGCCCCTGTGCCGCTTCATGTGGTCCTCCAGGGCGGGCAGGCTGATCACCACCCAGTTGCAGATTGGGCAGTAGATCTTGATCTCTCCTCCCTCGTTCATCATTCCCGTCCTAGCACTGGGGCAAAGAGTGAGGCACACGAAGGAAAATGAATCTCCCTCGCCCCACCCCTGTGAAGTATCGCAAACAAGTCGTGAAGCTAGAAACCACGGACACCGGTTGCTAACTGTAGAACAAACAAAGTGGTCGTCGCTGCGTCGCGTGGCGCTTTCAGATGCTGCTGCTGCTTCTGGCGGACGTCTGGAACGCTCTTCCTCTCCGGTATGAGGAAGCTACTGGGAGCTACGATGCACTTTTAAATCACCACCTGGATTGACTAACTAATTTCTTTAGAACTGCTGCTTGTTGTTGTGTTTAATTTGTTGCCCTTCCCCCGCACCTCCTATTAGCGCGGTTGGCTATTGTTCTGTTGTTATTGTTGCTGCCTTGCCCAATCTTGATAAATTGGACTTAAACAATTTCCATTTGGCAACTTGCTTACCTTTTGTTGTATTTTACACTTCCTATCGTTTGTTTGTGTGTATCGTGTGTTTGCCGTTGTACATCGCTGACTCCCCATGGCCATACTGAACAACTGTTAAAACGAGCTTCATCCTCCGTACCGCATCAGCGCCATCTCATCTCCAGCCCGTACCACGCCCGTTTAGCCACCCCTCTATACGGCTAAACAAAAACTGCTTGGGCGTGCAGTGGATGGGCATGCGGGCTACATGACCCAGCCAACATACAGTGAGGGAAAAAAGTATTTGACCCCATGCTGATTTTGTACGTTTGCCCACTGACAAAGAAATGATCAGTCTATAATTTTAATGGTAAGTTTATTTGAACAGTGAGAGACAGAATAACAACAAAATTCAGAAAAATGCATGTCAAAAATGTTATAAATTGATTCGCATTTTAATGAGGAAAATAAGTATTTGACCCCCTCTCAATCAGAAAGATTTCTGGCTCCCAGTTGTCTTTTATACAGGTAACGAGCTGAGATTAGGAGCACACTCTTAAAGGGAGTGATCCTAATCTCAGCTTGTTCCCTGTATAAAAGACATTTGTTCACACAAGCAATCAATCAGATTCCAAATTCTCCACCATGGCCAAGACCAAAGAGCTCTCCAAGGATGTCAGGGACAAGATTGTAGACCTACACAAGGCTGGAATGGGCTACAAGACCATCGCCAAGCAGCTTGGTGAGGTGACAACAGTTGGTGCGATTATTCGCAAATGGAAGAAACACAAAAGAACTGTCAATCTCCCTCGGTCTGGGGCTCCATGCAAGATCTCACCTCGTAGAGTTGCAATGATCATGAGAACGGTGAGGAATCAGCCCAGAACTACACGGGAGGATCTTGTCAATGATCTCAAGGCAGCTGGGACCATAGTCACCAAGAAAACAGTTGGTAACACACTACACTGTGAAGGACTGAAATCCTGCAGCGCCCGCAAGGTCCCCCTGCTCAAAAAAGCACATATACATGCCCGTCTGAAGTTTGCCAATGAACATCTGAATGATGCAGAGGATAACTGGGTGAAAGTGTTGTGGTCAGATGAGACCAAAATGGAGCTCTTTGGCATCAACTCAACTTGCCGTGTTTGGAAGAGGCGGAATGCTGCCTATGACCCCAAGAACACCATCCCCACCGTCAAACATGGAGGTGAAATCATTATGCTTTGGGGGTGTTATTCTAAGGGGACAGGACAACTTCACCGCATCAAAGGGACGATGAACCGTCAAATCTTGGGTGAGAACCTCCTTCCCTCAGCCAGGGCATTGAAAATGGGTCGTGGATGGGTATTCCAGCATGACAATGACCCAAAACACACGGCCAAGGCAATAAAGGAGTGGCTCAAGAAGAAGCACATTAAGGTCCTGGAGTGGCCTAGCCAGTCTCCAGACCTTAATCCCATAGAAAATCTGTGGAGGGAGCTGAAGGTTCGAGTTTCCAAACGTCAGCCTCGAAACCTTAATGACTTGGAGAAGATCTGCAAAGACGAGTGAGACAAAATCCCTCCTCAGATGTGTGCAAACCTGGTGGCCAACTACAAGAAACGTCCCTCATTAAAATGCAAATCAATTTATACAATTTTTGACATGCGTTTTTCTGGATTTTGTTGTTGTTATTCTGTCTCTCACTGTTCAAATAAACCTGGTGGGTTGGAAAGAGACGTGACGTCACGACCCAGTCTCCCTCTCACGATATCCCTCTCACCTGATGACGGTCGCTTGCGTTGCGATCGAAACGTCGTGATCTATTATTTTGTCTACCTACGTGATTTTACCGATAGAACCAAAGAGTATGGATTCCTGCAGTCAAGAAAGCTTCAAATCAAGATTGATAAGGACCCTGTACAGATCTTTCAAGGATTTGTGAGCTCCTCACACTGCGACTCAGCCTGCAGGTTAAACCCACGATGGATCGTAGGCAGGGACGGCCTGCAAGTCTAACATCGGCGCAGAAATATCTCATGGTCTCTCTACTAAATATCTCCTGTTCACGATCTCCATCTCACAATCTCCATCTCACAATCTCCATCTCACAATCTCCATCTCACAATCTCCATCTCACAATCTCCATCTCACAATCTCCCTCTCACAATCTCCCACTCACAATCTCCCACTCACAATCTCCCACTCACAATCTCCCACTCACAATCTCCCACTCACGATCTCCCTCTGACGATCTCCCACTCACCATCTCCCACTCACGATCTACCACTCACGATCTCCCACGCACGATCTCCAACTCACAATCTCCCACGGCCTCCCCCACGGCCTCCCACGATCTCTCTCTCTCGGTTACTCAAAGTCTCTCACCCACGGTCTCTCTCCCACGGTCTCTCTCCCACGGTCTCTCCCCCACGGTCTCTCCCCCACGGCCTCTCCCCCACGGTCTCTCCCCCACAGTCTCCCCCCACGGTCTCCCCCACGGTCTCTCCCCCACGGTCTCCCTCCCACGGTCTCTCCCCCACGGTCTCCCTCCCACGGTCTCTCCCCCACGGTCTATCCCCCACGGTCTCCCTCCCATGGCCTCTCCCCCACGGCCTCTCTCACCCACAGTCTCTCCCCCACGGACTCTCCCCCACGGCCTCTCCCCCACGGTCTCTCTCACTCACGGCCTCTCCCCCACGGCCTCTCCCCCACAGTCTCTCCCCCACGGTCTCTCTCACCCACAGTCTCTCCCCCACAGTCTCTCCCCCACGGTCTCTCTCACCCACGGACTCTCACCCACGGTCTCTCACCCACGGTCTCTCTCACCCACGGCCTCTCCCCCACGGTCTCTCACCCACAGTCTCTCCCCCACAGTCTCTCCCCCACGGTCTCTCTCACCCACAGTCTCTCCCCCACAGTCTCTCCCCCACGGACTCTCCCCCACAGTCTCCCCCCACGGCCTCTCCCCCACGGTCTCTCACACGGTCTCACCCACGGCCTCTCACCCACGGCCTCTCCCCCAAGGTCTCTCACCCACGTCCTCTCTCACCCACAGTCTCTCCCCCACGGTCTCTCTCATCCACAGTCTCTCCCCCACGGACTCTCCCCCACGGCCTCTCACACGGTCTCACCCACGGCCTCTCCCCCAAGGTCTCTCACCCACAGTCTCTCCCCCACGGTCTCTCTCACCCACAGTCTCTCCCCCACCGTCTCTCTCACCCACAGTCTCTCCCCCACGGTCTCCCCCCACGGCCTCTCACCCACGGCCTCTCACCCACGGTCTCTCTCACCGAGTCTTCCCCCACAGTCTCTCCCCCACGGTCTCTCTCCCCCACGGTCTCTCTCACCCACGGTCTCTCCCCCACGGTCTCTCTCACCCACGGTCTCTCCCCGACGGCCTCTCACCCACGGCCTCTCACCCACGGCCTCTCACCCAGTCTCTCCCCCACGGTCTTTCTCACCCACAGTCTCTCCCCCACAGTCTCCCCCACGGTCTCTCTCACCCACAGTCTCTCCCCCACGGTCTCTCTCACCCAGTCTCTCCCCCACAGTCTCTCCCCCACGGCCTCTCACCCACGGCCTCTCACCCACAGTCTCTCCCCCACGGTCTCTCTCACCCACAGTCTCTCCCCCACAGTCTCTCCCCCACGGACTCTCCCCCACGGCCTCTCACCCACGGCCTCTCACCCACAGTCTCTCCCCCACGGTCTCTCTCACCCACAGTCTCTCCCCCACGGTCTCTCTCACCCACAGTCTCTCCCCCACAGTCTCCCCCACGGTCTCTCTCACCCAGTCTCTCCCCCACGGTCTCTCCCCCACAGCCTCTCACCCACGGCCTCTCACCCACAGTCTCTCCCCCACGGTCTCTCTCACCCACAGTCTCTCCCCCACAGTCTCTCCCCCACGGCCTCTCACCCACAGTCTCTCACCCACAGTCTCTCCCCCACGGTCTCTCTCACCCACAGTCTCTCCCCCACGGTCTCTCTCACCCACAGTCTCTCCCCCACAGTCTCCCCCCCACGGACTCTCCCCCACGGCCTCTCACCCACAGTCTCTCCCCCACGGTCTCTCTCACCCACAGTCTCTCCCCCACAGTCTCTCCCCCACGGCCTCTCACCCACAGTCTCTCACCCACAGTCTCTCCCCCACGGTCTCTCTCACCCACAGTCTCTTCCCCACGGTCTCTCTCACCCACAGTCTCTCCCCCACAGTCTCCCCCCCACGGACTCTCCCCCACGGCCTCTCACCCACAGTCTCTCCCCCACAGTTTCTCCCCCACGGTCTCTCTCACCCACAGTCTCTCCCCCACGGTCTCTCTCACCCACAGTCTCTCCCCCACAGTCTCCCCCACGGTCTCTCTCACCCACAGTCTCTCCCCCACGGTCTCTCTCACCCAGTCTCTCCCCCACAGTCTCTCCCCCACGGCCTCTCACCCACGGCCTCTCACCCACAGTCTCTCCCCCACGGTCTCTCTCACCCACAGTCTCTCCCCCACGGTCTCCCCCCCACGGTCTCTCCCCCACGGCCTCTCACCCACGGTCTCTCCCCCACGGTCTCTCACACGGTCTCACCCACGGCCTCTCACCCACGGCCTCTCCCCCAAGGTCTCTCACCCACAGTCTCTCCCCCACGGTCTCTCTCACCCACAGTCTCTCCCCCACAGTCTCCCCCACGGTCTCTCTCACCCACGGTCTCTCCCCCACGGTCTCTCCCCCACGGTCTCTCCCCCACGGTCTCTCTCACCCACGGTCTCTCCCCCACGGCCTCTCACCCACGGCCTCTCACCCACGGCCTCTCACCCACGGCCTCTCACCCACGGCCTCTCACCCAGTCTCTCCCCCACGGTCTTTCTCACCCACAGTCTCTCCCCCACAGTCTCCCCCACGGTCTCTCTCACCCACAGTCTCTCCCCCACGGTCTCTCTCACCCAGTCTCTCCCCCACAGTCTCTCCCCCACGGCCTCTCACCCACGGCCTCTCACCCACAGTCTCTCCCCCACGGTCTCTCTCACCCACAGTCTCTCCCCCACGGTCTCTCTCACCCACAGTCTCTCCCCCACAGTCTCCCCCCCACGGACTCTCCCCCACGGCCTCTCACCCACGGCCTCTCACCCACAGTCTCTCCCCCACGGTCTCTCTCACCCACAGTCTCTCCCCCACGGTCTCTCTCACCCACAGTCTCTCCCCCACGGTCTCCCCCCCACGGACTCTCCCCCACGGCCTCTCACCCACGGACTCTCCCCCACGGTCTCTCACACGGTCTCACCCACAGCCTCTCCCCCAAGGTCTCTCACCCACAGTCTCTCCCCCACGGTCTCTCTCACCCACGGTCTCTCCCCCACGGTCTCTCCCCCACGGTCTCTCTCACCCACGGTCTCTCCCCCACGGCCTCTCACCCACGGCCTCTCACCCACAGTCTCTCCCCCACGGTCTCTCTCACCCACAGTCTCTCCCCCACGGTCTCTCTCACCCACAGTCTCTCCCCCACGGTCTCCCCCCCACGGACTCTCCCCCACGGCCTCTCACCCACGGACTCTCCCCCACGGTCTCTCACACGGTCTCACCCACGGCCTCTCACCCACGGCCTCTCCCCCAAGGTCTCTCACCCACGTCCTCTCTCACCCACAGTCTCTCCCCCACGGTCTCTCTCATCCACAGTCTCTCCCCCACGGACTCTCCCCCACGGCCTCTCACACGGTCTCACCCACGGCCTCTCCCCCAAGGTCTCTCACCCACAGTCTCTCCCCCACGGTCTCTCTCACCCACAGTCTCTCCCCCACCGTCTCTCTCACCCACAGTCTCTCCCCCACGGTCTCCCCCCACGGCCTCTCACCCACGGCCTCTCACCCACGGTCTCTCTCACCGAGTCTTCCCCCACAGTCTCTCCCCCACGGTCTCTCTCCCCCACGGTCTCTCTCACCCACGGTCTCTCCCCCACGGTCTCTCTCACCCACGGTCTCTCCCCCACGGCCTCTCACCCACGGCCTCTCACCCACGGCCTCTCACCCACGGCCTCTCACCCAGTCTCTCCCCCACGGTCTTTCTCACCCACAGTCTCTCCCCCACAGTCTCCCCCACGGTCTCTCTCACCCACAGTCTCTCCCCCACGGTCTCTCTCACCCAGTCTCTCCCCCACAGTCTCTCCCCCACGGCCTCTCACCCACGGCCTCTCACCCACAGTCTCTCCCCCACGGTCTCTCTCACCCACAGTCTCTCCCCCACAGTCTCTCCCCCACGGACTCTCCCCCACGGCCTCTCACCCACGGCCTCTCACCCACAGTCTCTCCCCCACGGTCTCTCTCACCCACAGTCTCTCCCCCACGGTCTCTCTCACCCACAGTCTCTCCCCCACAGTCTCCCCCACGGTCTCTCTCACCCAGTCTCTCCCCCACGGTCTCTCCCCCACGGCCTCTCACCCACGGCCTCTCATCCACAGTCTCTCCCCCACGGTCTCTCTCACCCACAGTCTCTCCCCCACAGTCTCTCCCCCACGGCCTCTCACCCACAGTCTCTCACCCACAGTCTCTCCCCCACGGTCTCTCTCACCCACAGTCTCTCCCCCACGGTCTCTCCCCCACAGTCTCCCCCCCACGGACTCTCCCCCACGGCCTCTCACCCACAGTCTCTCCCCCACGGTCTCTCTCACCCACAGTCTCTCCCCCACAGTCTCTCCCCCACGGCCTCTCACCCACAGTCTCTCACCCACAGTCTCTCCCCCACGGCCTCTCACCCACGGCCTCTCACCCACAGTCTCTCCCCCACGGTCTCTCTCACCCACAGTCTCTCCCCCACAGTCTCTCCCCCACGGACTCTCCCCCACGGCCTCTCACCCACGGCCTCTCACCCACAGTCTCTCCCCCACGGTCTCTCTCACCCACAGTCTCTCCCCCACGGTCTCTCTCACCCACAGTCTCTCCCCTACAGTCTCCCCCACGGTCTCTCTCACCCAGTCTCTCCCCCACGGTCTCTCCCCCACGGCCTCTCACCCACGGCCTCTCACCCACAGTCTCTCCCCCACGGTCTCTCTCACCCACAGTCTCTCCCCCACAGTCTCTCCCCCACGGCCTCTCACCCACAGTCTCTCACCCACAGTCTCTCCCCCACGGTCTCTCTCACCCACAGTCTCTCCCCCACGGTCTCTCTCACCCACAGTCTCTCCCCCACGGTCTCCCCCCCACGGACTCTCCCCCACGGCCTCTCACCCACAGTCTCTCCCCCACGGTCTCTCTCACCCACAGTCTCTCCCCCACAGTCTCTCCCCCACGGGCTCTCACCCACAGTCTCTCACCCACAGTCTCTCCCCCACGGTCTCTCTCACCCACAGTCTCTCCCCCACGGTCTCTCTCACCCACAGTCTCTCCCCCACAGTCTCCCCCCCACGGACTCTCCCCCACGGCCTCTCACCCACAGTCTCTCCCCCACAGTCTCTCCCCCACGGTCTCTCTCACCCACAGTCTCTCCCCCACGGTCTCTCTCACCCACAGTCTCTCCCCCACAGTCTCCCCCACGGTCTCTCTCACCCACAGTCTCTCCCCCACGGTCTCTCTCACCCAGTCTCTCCCCCACAGTCTCTCCCCCACGGCCTCTCACCCACGGCCTCTCACCCACAGTCTCTCCCCCACGGTCTCTCTCACCCACAGTCTCTCCCCCACGGTCTCCCCCCCACGGACTCTCCCCCACGGCCTCTCACCCACGGACTCTCCCCCACGGTCTCTCACACGGTCTCACCCACGGCCTCTCACCCACGGCCTCTCCCCCAAGGTCTCTCACCCACAGTCTCTCCCCCACGGTCTCTCTCACCCACAGTCTCCCCCACGGTCTCCCTCACGGTCTCTCTCACGGTCTCTCTCACGGTCTCTCCCCCACGGTCTCTCCCCCACGGCCTCTCCCCCACGGCCTCTCACCCACGGCCTCTCACCCACGGCCTCTCACCCACGGCCTCTCACCCAGTCTCTCCCCCACGGTCTTTCTCACCCACAGTCTCTCCCCCACAGTCTCCCCCACGGTCTCTCTCACCCACAGTCTCTCCCCCACGGTCTCTCTCACCCAGTCTCTCCCCCACAGTCTCTCCCCCACGGCCTCTCACCCACGGCCTCTCACCCACAGTCTCTCCCCCACGGTCTCTCTCACCCACAGTCTCTCCCCCACGGTCTCCCCCCCACGGACTCTCCCCCACGGCCTCTCACCCACGGACTCTCCCCCACGGTCTCTCACACGGTCTCACCCACGGCCTCTCCCCCAAGGTCTCTCACCCACAGTCTCTCCCCCACGGTCTCTCTCACCCACAGTCTCTCCCCCACAGTCTCCCCCACGGTCTCTCCCCCACGGTCTCTCTCACTCACGGCCTCCGCTCCTTCTCCGTCGGTTTCCTTCCGTCGCGTGCGAGTGACGTGGAGCGGGGGGGAGGAAAAGTGGCAGCAAGCAACGCCGGCGTGACGTCACGACCGGTGGTGGTGATGACGTCACGACCTGTGGAGGACAAAGTGACGTGACGTCACGGCTGCTTGCGTTGTTGTGGCCGAAACGTCGTGAGAATAATTTTATTGTTTTATTTTTATTATTTTATTATTTCCATTCTACGTGATTTTACCGAAAGAACCAAGAAGATGACTACCCATAGACTCAACACTGCACCATAGACTCAACACTGCACCATAGACTCAACACTGTCCATAGACTCAACACTGTCCATAGACTCAACACTGCACCATAGACTCAACACTGCACCATAAACTCAACACTGTCCATAGACTCAACACTGCACATAGACTCAACACTGCACCATAGACTCAACACTGCACCATAGACTCAACACTGTCCATAGACTCAACACTGCCCATAGACTCAACACTGCCCATAGACTCAACACTGCACCATAGACTCAACACTGTCCATAGACTCAACACTGCACCATAGACTCAACACTGCCCATAGACTCAACACTGTCCATAGACTCAACACTGCCCATAGACTCAACACTACCCATAGACTCAACACTGCACCATAGACTCAACACTACCCATAGACTCAACACTGCACCATAGACTAACACTGCCCATAGACTCAACACTGCACCATAGACTCAACACTACCCATAGACTCAACACTGCCCATTGACTCAACACTGTCCATAGACTCAACACTACCCATAGACTCAACACTGCCCATAGACTCAACACTGCACTAAGTGGTGGTGGGGGGGGGGAGACGTCCCCGCGGCGTGCGCGTGGTAGGTTGGAGAGAGACATGACGTCACGTCGAGCAGGAAATGGTGACGTCACGACCGAGTCGCCCGAGTCTGCGTGAGTCCCGCGTCTTTGTGTCACTGTGGGAGAATCTTCACCCGTGTCTGTCTGTGTGTCTGTCAATCTGTGGCCATCCGTGTGTGTGTGTGTCTGTATCGGTCTGTGTGTACGGTAGGGGGCACAGGTGGTGCATCAGCCAGTCATCTCGGTCATCTCGGTCAGTCGACCCGTGGCACCTGGGCCTGCCCCGTGACCTCCTGCCAGCGGGCGTTCGACACTTCACGTGGCTTCAAGGTGCACTTGGCCTGGCACAAGCGTCGTGGTGACGTCACCGCCACTTAGTAGCGAATGGCGGTTGTTGTTGTGTGTGTCAATCTGTGGCCATCTGTGTGTGTCTGTCTGTGTCTGTTAATCTGTGTCCATCTGTGTCTGTCTGTATCGGTCTGCGTCTCTGTTCCAATCTGTGTGTGTGTCTGTATCCATCTGTGTGTGTGTCAATCTGTGGCTATCTGTGTGTGTCCGTCTGTGTGTCAATCTGTGGCCATCTGTATGTGTCTGTGTGTCAATCTGTGGCCATCTGTGTGTGTCTGTATCGGTCTGCGTCTCTGTTCCAATTTGTGTGTGTGTATCCGTCTGTGTGTGTGTCAATCTGTGGCCATCTGTGTATGTGTCTGTATCCGTCTGTGTCTGTCATTCTGTGGCCATCTGTGTGTTTCGTTCAGTGGCCATCTGTGTGTGTCTGTCTGTATCGATCTGTGTCAATCTGTCTGTCAAACTGTGGCCATCTGTGTGTGTCCGTCTGTGTGTCAATCTGTGGCCATCTGTGTGTGTCTGTCTGTATCGGTCTGCGTCTCTGTTCCAATCTGTGTGTGTGTCTGTATCCGTCTGTGTGTGTGTCAATCTGTGGCTATCTGTGTGTGTCCGTCTGTGTGTCAATCTGTGACCATCTGTGTGTGTCTGTCTGTATCGGTCTGCGTCTCTGTTCCAATCTGTGTGTGTGTCTGTATCCGTCTGTGTGTGTGTCAATCTGTGGCCATCTGTGTGTTTCGTTCAGTGGCCATCTATGTGTGTCTGTCTGTATCGATCTGTGTCAATCTGTCTGTGTGTCAAACTGTGGCCATCTGTGTGTGTCCGTCTGTGTATGTGTGTCAATCTGTGGCCATCTGTATGTGTCTGTGTGTCAATCTGTGGCCATCTGTGTGTCTCTGTCTGTATTCGTCTGTGTGACAAGGCCGTAGCCATGGAGTCAACATTGGGGGGGACCAAATCTTCCAAGGGGTCTGGGGTCCCCCTCCCCCAGAAAAAAATCAATCTAAATTTGAAAACGAACTTCCTGCCATTTCCTGCCTAAAATATAAAAAAATCACTAACACATGGGATGGAATTTATTTATTTATTTTGTACAATAATGTATAATAGTGTATTGTATTACATTGCCCCGTTTTTTTCTTTTTTACCTTTTCTTGTTTCATTGTATGTAATGGCAGAGATTAGGGATTAATAAAGTACAACCATAAACCACTATAATATAAACAGAAATCTATTTTATAGCAATATATTGGGGGGGGGGCATTTTGAGCATATTTGAATATTGGGGGGGGGGTATGTCCCCCCCCCCCAATATATATTATAATTACGGCCTTGCTGTGTGACAATCTGTGGCCATCTGTGTCTGTATCCGTCTGTGTCTCTGGGTGTATGTCAATCTGTTTCCATCCATGTATGTGTGTCTGTGTCTTAGTATGTGTCTTAGTCTGTGTATCTTAGTCTGTGTCTCTGGGGTGTGTAAATCTGTGTCCATCTGTGTGTCTGTGTAACCTGGTGCGGTGTGTAGTAAACATCACCACTGGGGAGAGAAAGGCGGCCGGGCGTGGTGCTGGCCACCCACCCCCTCGTGTGCCATGGTGCCAGCCTTCATTGGCCGCTAATCGCTAACAGCAACTTACTTGCCTGTTAAGGTCATACGGGGGACTTTCACCTGCCCAGCCTCTCACCTGCCCAGCCTCTCACCTGCCCAGCCTCTCACCTGCCCAGCCTCTCACCTGCCCAGGCTCTCACCTGCCCAGCCTCTCACCTGTCCAGCCTCTCATCTGCCCAGGCTCGCCTGCCCAGCCTCTCACCTGTCCAGCCTCTCACCTGCACAGGCTCTCACCTGCCCAGCCTCTCACCTGCCCAGCCTCTCACCTGCCCAGGCTCTCACCTGCCCAGCCTCTCACCTGTCCAGCCTCTCACCTGCCCAGGCTCACCTGCCCAGCCTCTCACCTGCCCAGGCTCACCTGCCCAGCCTCTCACCTGCCCAGCCTCTCACCTGTCCAGCCTCTCACCTGCCCAGGCTCACCTGCCCAGCCTCTCACCTGTCCAGCCTCTCACCTGCCCAGCCTCTCACCTGTCCAGCCTCTCACCTGCACAGGCTCTCACCTGCCCAGCCTCTCACCTGTCCAGGCTCTCACCTGCCCAGCCTCTCACCTGCCCAGCCTCTCACCTGCCCAGCCTCTCACCTGTCCAGCCTCTCACCTGCCCAGGCTCTCATCTGCCCAGCCTCTCACCTGTCCAGCCTCTCACCTGTCCAGCCTCTCACCTGCCCAGGCTCTCACCTGCACAGCCTCTCACCTGTCCAGCCTCTCACCTGCCCAGGCTCTCACCTGCCCAGCCTCTCACCTGTCCAGCCTCTCACCTGCCCAGGCTCACCTGCCCAGCCTCTCACCTGTCCAGCCTCTCACCTGCCCAGCCTCTCACCTGCACAGCCTCTCACCTGTCCAGCCTCTCACCTGCACAGGCTCTCACCTGTCCAGCCTCTCACCTGCACAGACTGTCACCTGTCCAGCCTCTCACCTGCCCAGCCTCTCACCTGTCCAGCCTCTCACCTGCCCAGCCTCTCACCTGCCCAGGCTCTCACCTGCCCAGCCTCTCACCTGTCCAGCCTCTCACCTGCCCAGGCTCACCTGCCCAGCCTCTCACCTGTCCAGCCTCTCACCTGTCCAGCCTCTCACCTGCCCAGGCTCTCACCCGTGGGTGGAGGTTGAGGAGGAGCCGTACCCACTGGCTTTGCCAGGTAGAAGGTGGCACAGCAGCAGAGTGTGTGGACTAATCTCCATCTGTTCCATCTCACTCCCTTCTACCCGTGGGTGGCGGTTGAGGAGGAGCTGTACCGCCTAGCTCTGCCGGGAAAAAGCGGTACAGTAGCAGAGTGTGTGGACTAATCTCCATCTGTTCCGTCTGTTGTGGGGTGGCGCTACTCCATCGCATGCGTGGGTTTTTCTCCGGATGCTTCAGTTTCCACCCACGTATGAGCTCTCATGACTTGGCTGATAACACCTTATTATATAAAGGACCGCAGAGCTTGGGAAAATATTTTTGGCTCAACGCTGGACTGCTGCCTTCCCCGCTTCTGTTTGGTTCCTCACTACTCTATGTATGTGTGTACGTTGAAATTATTTTGCACCGTACCTTGCCAAAAGTAAACAATTTATTATTGTTACCAGGTAAGGCCCCAGCACTGAGCTATGTAGGAGCTCTTTTTCAGAAGCGACCTGGGCATCACAAATTATAGCAACTCATCAAAGTGGCTTATCATAGTATGACAATTTAGAGCAGCCAAATACTGTACTCTGAACGCGTGGTGATGTCGATTCAAAATATGGAGGGAAAAACCGGAGGACCTCGAGAAAAATCCACGCAATCATGGGGAGAGAGACACGCAAACTCCAAATATACAGATATCAGGGTCGGGATCGAACCCAAGACCTGTATACCAGCAGAGGTAGTTAACATCTCGCCACGACGCAGCCAACTGTGCTAATCGCAGGTGCGGGGAAAGGACAACAAACGAAACACAAAAAGCAGTTCTAAAGAAGTGAATTTGTCAATCAAGATGATGATTTAAAAGTGCATCATAGTTCCCAGTGGCTTCCTAATATCGGAAGGGAAGAGCGTTCCAGACGGCCACAGAAGAAGCGGATCTCAAAGCGCCGCGCAACAATGCGCCGCTGTTGCTACGAGGATGACGGTTGGAGAGTTTACATAACGACGGTTCATGCTCCTCAGATCATCAGCGAAGTGTAGCGGTTCACCCGTGAATGGATATCGTGCGGCGGCGCATCACACAATTTTTCATTTTATGATTGTTGCTTTGCCCTTGCGTGCCCCAGTGCCGACGCGGAACGGAACGGAGCGGAGATGAAGTTCTTCTGCCCGATCTGCAAGTGGCTCGTGGTCAACCTGCCCGCCCTGGACGACCACATGAAGCGGCACAAGGGGTGGACGGAGCCCGCTCTGTTCCGGTGCCCCCACTGCCCGTTCAAAACGTACAAGCTGAGCGTGTTCATTGGCCACCAGGCGACGCACGACGCGCGCGAGTCACACAAGTGCGCCGAGTGCGGCAAAGTGTTCATCGACGCCGAGGTCTTCCGCGAGCACCGGGCGGCGCACGCCGAGGAGATACCCTACATATGCGCCGACTGCGGCAAGATATTCGCCCGGTCGGACACCCTCGTTGCCCACCGGCGGGTCCACGAGGGTGGCAGGGCGTGTCGGTGCTCCGCGTGCGGCAAGGAGTTTGCAGACTCCAGGGCCCTTCACATTCACCAGAACGTCCACGGCCTGCCATCGCGACCCCCGTCCGGCGGCGAACCGGAGGGTGCCTCGGCTCAGACGTTTGATGCTCCCGCTCCCCGCGGAAACGGAGGCGGAGGAGGCGAACCAAGAAGACGGCGGACGTCCGGTGGCGGCGGTGGCGACCACTCTTTCTCCACCGGAGCGAGGCAGGCGAAGAGAAATGTGATGCCGCCGCCACGAAGCCGTTCAGCAGGCGCCCCATCTACGACCTCGCCACCACCAAGCGACGGAGCCAACCCCGCTGTCCCCCTCACCTCACCTCACATAAACACACCCGCACGCATTTCCCCCCCCCCATAGAGCTCCGAGGGGAGGTCACCTGGCCGACCGGTTTTAATCCGAGAAGCCCTTATCGGGATAACTTTCACGGTTTCCGGTGACCAGGGAATTGGACGACCTCCCCCGATGCTACTGCGCGGTGCTGCGACCGGCATTAAGATTGCAAGGTCGCAGCAAGGGGCCACTCGGCCACCGCGGGTGAAACGCACCACACACACCCCACACACGCACGTATCGACGGGGCCGGCAGAGGGGCATAAGCATTGTGCCCGTCAGGGCACGCGCCCTAACGGGCGCGCGCCCATTGTTAAAGAAAAACTGGGAGGGGGCGACGACAGGCGGAGCAGCATCCCTTTGATGTAGGGACGATAAAAAGGGGGCGAAAACGGGAGATCTCTCTCTTGCTCCAGGATCAGGCCACAAGACGCTCTCCAGCCCAGCGACCCGGATGTCCATGCGACGCATCGAGGTACACTGCGAGCACGGGATCAACGGACCTCCGTGGGCACCTAACCGTGAGTAAGAAGGTGCATTAGGATCATAAGCAGATAAATCGGGAATAGGCATGAAGGTATCAGCGTAGGCCAGCCTCGTCCATTCATACTGACTCAACAACCAGTCCCAGGTAGCAGACAATAAATCATTAATAGCTGATCGTGGCCTCGTGTGATCTCGTTGAGAAGTGTGAACGCATGTGGTGCTGCGTATACAGTGGCTCGCCTCGTGGGAGCGCTGCGCAGAGCGCTGCGCAGAGCGGCGCGAGAGTGGGTGTCGCGTGTGGAGCTGCGTGTGTGCGCGTACGTTCACTCCGTGGATGATACAGGTGCGCGATCATAACGTGAGTAGTCAGTGTTGAGTTGGAGAGCACAGAGCTGCGTGTGTGTGTGTGGGTGTGCATACGTTCGCTCCGTGTATGATACAGGTGCGCGATTGGTAACGTGGGTACTCGACGTGGAGACGAGTGCTGCACAGGGCGGTAGACGGGCACACGCTCGCAGCGTGCGAGAGCTGTACGTAACGGTGTATGGCGTTTGATTGATCATGCTGTGCGTACGTATGCTCGCAGCGGGGGAGCGCTGCGTGGGGCTGGATGAGTAGGGGCGTCGCGTTCGAATGCCGGCGACACCCTAGCGGGTATTAGGGCGGTGTGGCAACGCGAATGGAATAGGGGATGCGTGAGGGAGAGATCCCGGGGGCCAACGGCCCCCACATATTTGAGCAGCCAGGAGGGACCGCGGGGGCCAGCGGCCCCAACAGAAACGCCCCCCCCACCGCCCCCACCACCGCCCCCACCACCACCACCTCCTCCGGCTTTGAAACGCGGCCGGCGGCAGTGAAGGCGACGGCGGCGTCGTCGGCGGCGGCAACGACATAGAGGACGCTCCCCATCACCCACCCACCCCTACGCCCCCTCGTGTGGCCTTCGTGGCCGTGAATTTGGAGTTGGAATGAAACTCCGGCCGTTTTGATGGAACCACGGGAGAGAGGTTTGTATTTTAGTGCCATTTGTTGATGTCATAAATTCCTGACCCCGAGTCCCCCACCACCCCCCCCCCCTCCCCCGATCTGCCGCTGTGGCGAGATGTTAACCTCCCTCGCCTGGTATGAACTCAAATATTTTTGGTTATTGCTACTAGGTAAGGCCCCACTGAGCTATGTAGGAACTCTCTTTCAGAAGCGACCTGGGCAATCACAAATGATACCAGCTCAACATATCATCATCATCACCGTGTGGAAAAAAACAAGACCCAGAGAAAAATCGACGCGACCATGGGGAGAGAGACGCAGACTCCAAATATACAGCAGCATTGGGATCATCGCAGGTCGTGGGTTCGATCCCGACCCTGACGCCTGTTGTATATTTGGAGTTTGCATGTCTCTCGCTCTCTCCCCGTGGTCGCGTGGATTTTTCTCCGGGTCCTCCGGTTTTTCCCCTCCACATTGAGAATCAACATCACCACGCATGATGTGGACATGCATAGCTGCTGCTATACATTTCCACGTGATGATGATGTCAGCCACCTGGTTGCGCTGCTATCATTTGTGATGGCCCAGGTCACTTCTGAAAAAGAGCTTCTACATAGCTCAGTAGGGGCCTTACCTGGTAACAATAAAAAATAGTTTTTAAGTAATTTATTTACCTTTCCTATACTTTGCACTCGTATCGTGTTTTGTACTTTGTTGTTGTAACTTTGCGATCCCCCGTGCCCCTACTGGACATCTGTGACAAAGAGCTTCATAGCTCATCGGATTGCCCCTGGATGAGTAACGATTCTGACTCTGAAAGTTTATTAATTTCCCCTCTCGATTGTGAAGCGGGAAGATGAAGACGGATAATAACGTTCAGGTCTGAACAGATTTACCTACGTACGTTGAACTTCCCTTCGCACCGTACATAGCCGACCGTTGATAACACTGGTCAACACACTTATTCTGGCATAAGGTATTCCAACGGGTTTAAGGTTATTTTGGGGTGCTGATTCCAAATCTGGCATCAGTTTTTGTTTATCAAATCAGGTTTTTGAGATATCAAATAGTGCATTTTCAATAAAAACGGCAGAAGATAAATATTAAATGAATGTGGATATCTACATAAAATGATATTATAAACACACTATCCTAAAAATACAGCACCATATTTTAACACTAAAGCAGTCACTGACTCGCAACAACTTGCAACCATAAGTGACAGAGTTAATTTCGGGTAAAATCAATGTAAATGGGGTATGCCGATAGCATAAAATGAGATGTGATAGAGCAAATCTGTGATCAGATTTGGAATCAGCACCCTGAAATTAGTCTAAAACAGCTGCAAAAGTTGTTAACCAGTGTTATAGGAGGTTCGGGTGATGGGGAAGGACAACAAACTAAACACCACACCAACAAGCAGCAGCTTCCAAAGAAATTAGTTTGTCAATCTAGGCGATGACGCATAGCTCGCAGCGTTTTCCTAATATTGGAAAGAGAGCGTTCCAGACGGCCGCGGAAGCATATGGGAAAGTGTCGCGCAGCCATGATGCGGTGGCTGCTGGCTTCGATTCGACGGCTGAGCCCGAAGCCGCTTCTGCTGCCGCCACCACCGCCGCCGCAGCTGCTGTTGCTGCTGCTGCCGCTGCTGCTACTGCTACGAGTATGACCACCGGAGTGTCGCGTGGCGATGGTTTATAGCTCCTTGACGAGATCAGCAACGAGGGTATCGCGGTTTAGTTGTAGCCAAGCACTGTGTGACCATTGTAGAACCTTTCGATTTAAAGCTTTCGTGACTGCAGGGATTCATCTTCTTGGTTCTTTCGGTAAAGTCACGTAGAAGGGAAATAATAAAATAATAAAAATTTAACATAAAATAATTCTCACGACGTTTCGGCCACAACGCAAGCAGCCGTCCTCAGGTGAAGAACAGGTATGTCGGAAAGACAGCGTCTGAATGACAGACCTGTTCTTCACCTGAGGACGGCTGCTTGCGTTGTGGCCGAAACGTCGTGAGAATTATTTCATTATGTTTTATTTTTATTATTTCCCTTCTACGTGACTTTACCGAAAGAACCAAGAAGACATTGTAGAACCCTCTTCAATGGCTCCAAACACAAACACACACAAACACACCCTGTACACACACATATATACACCGTGTACACACACATATATACCCCGTGTACACACACACATATATATACCCTATACAGCGACTTCTTTACTTACAAATGAGTTATGTTCCAGAGGTAAGTTGCTTTGTTAGTAAGTCCCCACTTTACTCTTGTCAATTCCAAACGTGTTGTACGGCGTGTACACTAAACACGGGGAATGGCTTTGAAAGTTGTGTACTCTCCTGTAGATGCCTGTTCTGCAGATGGAGATGTCACTGGTCCTTCATGTTCTGCAGATGTAGATGACACTGGTCCTTCATGTTCTGCAGATGTAGATGCAACTGGTTCTTCATGTTCTGCAGACATAGTGCCAGTGGTTCTTCAAGTTCTTGAGATGTAGATGCCACTGGTTCTTTACGTTCTGCAGATGTAGATGCCACTAATTCTTCACGTTCTTCAGACGTAGATGACACTGGTTCTTTAAGTTCTGCAGATGTAGATGCTACTGGTTCTTCTCGTTCTACAGATGGCATGCCACTGGTTCTTCAGGTTCTGCAGATGTAGATGCCACCACCGCCATCTATTGAGCGGGCAGTTGAACTTACGACTCTCGGTCTGAACAGGCAACTGGACGCACCGGACCGGGTTTGTTCCAATCTCTGAAAGTTCGTAAGTCGAATGTTCATAAGTAGAGCAGTATCTGTTCTGTATATATTTGAGTAACAGTTACTTAAAACGCAAACACTTGAAACTGCACCGGCTTGCGGGGTTGGGGGAGGAGGTGCCAGATTTTCAAAAACATCGGACAATCACTAAATCGTCATCATTGTCTAAAATAACTTATTTTGCACATTATTGTTCGACATGTTTGTAGGTGTTGTTTTTTTCCGTGTTTTATATTCGTTTATTATATGAAGTTGGCATAAAGAAACAATACAAATAGACAAAAAGTTATCGCATTTACTGCACCATACTTAACACTCATCTCTCAGGCTCTGCATCATGGGGTGATGTATAGACGTGCAGTATTTTCATTTTAACACGTTGGTTTTCGCGACCAATATCCATGAGTTTTTTTTGTTAGATTGCGCAAATATAAATGTAGGTAATTTATTTGAAAGGCGCCTTCCACTGTCTCAAAGCGCCTTGTAAGATTAAGCTTAAGGAAAGGCCAAGAGAAGATGAGAGCTACGTCGAATAAACTGACTTAAGATATGGTTTCATCTACATTGTCGGTTAAACAAATTTTCCATGGTAGAGAATTCCACGACCAAGGCGCAGACACAGAAAATGCCTGCTCACCGCAGGAACACAGCCGGGAAGGAGGTACGAACAGAAGGGCAGAGGGATTTAGGAACGAAACAGGATTTCTCCACAAATATGGCTGTCGTCTGATGATGCTCGTTGTAATTACTGGCGAAACGTCGTAATCAGATTGTGAATGTGGATTTACTCTCCAACACACCCGTGTGGTGTACTAGTGTAGAGACAGTGCGTGTGTGGAGACAGTACGTCTGTGGAGACAGTGCAGGTGCAAAGACAGTGCGTGGACTAGTGGTCACGACCAGAAATTACAGGGTTGATAAATAATAGGGGGCGAGTTGTCACAGGGGGAATCGCCAGGGAAGTTCGGGAACGGGGCCATGGCCAGGGGCGGAGTCAGGGCCACGCCAAGCATAAAAGGAGGCGACGAGCAAGGTTCGGGGCTGCCGTGGGATCGGGGTCATCGCTGTCTTCGCGTCGCCGCTGTCTTCACATCGTCGCTATCTTCGCGTCGTTGGTGTCTTCGCGTCGTCGCGAGTTGTGTGTCATCCCTGTCCCAAGTGATCTGCGTGTCATCCCTGGCCAAGTTATCTGCGTGAAGCGCCTGATCAAAATAAAGAAAGCCCTCTACTTATATTACTTATATGCTTATATGTCTATATGTCTCTGGTTCTGTGTTTTATCTTTCTCTCAAATTTAGCATTCTCAGGAAGAACGTAATCAACCAGGTAGGGTGTTGACTGTTATGTTATCCGACTCTCTGTTGTATTACATTACATTTATAAGTATACTAGATTTGTGTTTCTATTTCATTTATACCTGATGATGATTGCTTGTGTTGCAATCGAAACGTCGTATGCTAGTATTTAATTTATTATTTTATCTTTATACGTGACTTTACCGAAAGAACCAAAGAGTAATTCCTGCAGTCACGAAAGCTCCAAATTAAGTTTAAAGCCCTTTACAGTTCGTGTCGCCCGAGAATCATACAAACTGGTGTCAGAAGTGGGGTAATTGAAATGTCGAGGCCCGTATTGATTTAAAAAATTCTGGCGGTGCCTTGCCTCTTGGGTACAGATTTTTTTAGCAGGATGCCCCTAAAGATTCTGACAGACCAAGGATGTGTCGAGATGCCGTCAGGGCAAAGATTGTTCTTTTTGGATTCCCCATGTAAAAATACTGTGGCGAACGTTACAGTTCAGGCCTTGGCAAAGGAATCAATAGATTCCGCCAGGCACGCAAATGTTGGTCCCTTTGCGCTACCGCAGCTTCAATCAGCTGACGCCGAGGCGGGAGTCCTCTTTACACCGTCCAACACAGCGACCCGAGGGCTTACGCTGGTGGGTGTGCAGACAATCCTTCGGATGAACCAAGAGCCATTTCTACAGGTCTTGAATGTATGTGTGGGAACAGTGTTAGCTCACGCGATGCCTCCATGTTTTTAGGCTATTATCTCTGCTGCAGGGAGTGGAACAGAGAGCCGAGTCAGATGGGACATGGGCAGATAAATTGTGTGGGAAATCCTGATTTATCCCAGGCGCAACGGAACGGATTGCGATCTTTGCTAAGGTAATTTTCCGACATTTTCAGTAAGAGCAAATTTGACATTGGTCGTACTTCGTTGCTGAAACACCATATTGATACGGGCGATGCAGCTCCTATTCGACAGAACTCATATCGTTTGAGTCCTGTAGAAAAGGAACATGTACAGCAGGCGTTGGAGGAAATGTTGGCGGCTGATATAATTTCACTATCAACCAGCCCTTGGGGAGTCCCTGTGGTGTTGGTGAAAAAACCAGACGGAAGTTTAAGGTTTGCTTCGACTTTCGTAAATTGAACAAAGTCTCAGTGGCAGACGCTGATCTGCTTCCACGTATGGATGATTCCCTGGACGTGTTGTCGGGCGCTCGGATTCTTTTCAACATTGGACCTGTTGGGGTTTTGGCAACTACCCCTGGATGAGTCTTCTCGAACATAAACTGCATTTCGAACGCCTCAGGGATTCTACCAAATTTGTCTCCCAATAGGATTGCATTCAGCGCCTGCCATATTCCAGAGACTTATGGAATTGGTCCTGGCGGGACTGCAATGGGACTCCTGCCTGATTTACTTAGATGATATCACTGTGTTTGCTCGCACATTTGAGGAGCATTTGCAAAGGTTGCGTGCTCTAGGGTACGGTCGGCTAATCTCAAATTAAAGCAAGCCCTCTACAGTTTGTGTCGTCTGAGAGACATTACACTAGTAACGAATTGGCATGTTCTGTTTACTTGACAAACCTTACTAATGTGCTTTCGGGTGGTGGTGGGTTTAACGACATTCATATTTAAGCGATCTAACCCATAAAAACCTCAATTCTAGATAGTATTTTTACGCACTTTTATTTAACTCACTCTGTCTGTTGTCGTATCCTCAAATCTTGTAACTAAATTTTAATCCACTTCCCAATGTGGTATAGACTGCAAACTTCGTATACTTATGTCTTACTGGTGACAATACCATATTCTATCGTAAAAATATTTTTTTAAACCATCCTTTTTATATGTTATGTTTCGGCTTGAGTCTAATTGTCCACGCTCAACTAATGTTGGCTGTAAATCACCACGGTCCCTTACGTTATGGCAAGCTTCGGGGCCACTTCCTGAAGTCATGGAGTTTTGCCATTACGAGTATGGTACATTTCATTAAAGCGTGTTTTTAAAAACAGTATTTTAAAATATTACTTATTTATTAATTTGTATGTATGTATGTATTGCTCCTGCACTGTTTGTTTTGCACGCCACAGTGCCGCCACTGATGATAGGCCACTTCGTTGATGGCCAGGTCGCTTCTGAAAAAGAGCTACGTGGCTCAGTGGTGGGCCTTACCTGGTCAAATAAAACAAAGAGTCTACGTAGTTTTCACTTCACGTGTATCTGTTCTCAGAGCAAAAAATATTGCCTCCACGTTGTGTACCTTCACAGTCGTGCAGACACGCTCGTGCTTTCGAACGGCCAATGTGTCGCGCGGCATTTTCTCAACATTTATTTTTCTCTCTGTCAGCTTCTCGAGTGTTTAATCTCCGCTCCACGAGACCTGCCCCCTGTGTAGTACACATCCTCCACCCGTGCCACCAAATTAACAAAGGTCCCAGTCGAGGACTCACTCTCACTCGACATGCTTGCTTGGAGCCTCCTCCTTCACTCTTTCCACGTAGACCTCAACATCCGTTCCCAAAGCAGAGACTCGGTCTCCCGTGTGCCAACTTAACCCCAGCCGCGTCTGACAGCCGGGGCTTTCTTCCTGTTCCTGCTTCACGATCGAGAGGGGAACTGAAGAATCCTCCCCCCTGCCATGTTCCACCTTCACCCCTGGCCACATCTCGACGCTGGCAATCTCTCCTCGCTCCCGCTTCATGATCGGTAGGGAGGCAGAAGGATCTTCACCGTTGCATTCTACCTTCACCTCTGGCCACGTCTCGGAGCTGGCGATCTCTCCGCGCTCCCGCTTCACGATCGGCAGGGAGGCAGTAGGATCTTCACCGTCGAATTCCACCTTCACCCCTGACCACGTCTCGAAGCTGGCAATCCCTCTGCGCTCCCGCTTCATGTTCGGTAGGGAGGCGGGAGGATCTTCACCGTCGCATTCTACCTTAACCCCCAGCCACGTCTCGAAGCTGAGGGTCTCTCCACGTTCTGATGTTAGCGATGCCGAGGGGGTCGCCGAGGGGGTTGCCGAGGGGGTCGCCGAGGGGGTCGCCGCGGGACCCTCACCCCCGAGGCTCGCCACGACCTCCCCAGCGGCAGTCGCGCCCTCGTGACGCCCGGCCCTCCCACGGGTGCAGCGGCGGAGGAGGGGAGGACTGGCTGGCAGCGTCGACGCGCTCGAGCCCGCGCGGACCTGCCGGCGTGACCGGAGGCTCCCCGACCCGGAGGAGGCTTTCCCGCCCGCGTGCGTCCTCCAGTGCACGCGGAGGGTGCCCAATTGCGTGAACGAGCTGCCGCACACGTCACACGCGTACGGCTTCTCGCCCGTGTGGGTGCGCTTGTGGATGCACAGGTTGCCCGACTGGGCGAAGCACTTGCCGCACGTGGAGCACTTGTAGGGCTTCTCGCCCGTGTGGGTCCTCGCGTGTATGACGAGGACTCTTGACTGTGCGAATCGCTTCCCGCATGCCGCGCATCCGTAGGGCTTCTCGCCCGCGTGGGTCTTCTCGTGGTTGAAGAGCGTCCCCGGCTGGTTGAATGCCTTGCCACACGTGGCGCACCTGTACGGCTTCTCGCTCGTGTGGATCCTCTGGTGGTTGAGGAGGTGGTGCGACTGAGTGAAATCCTCTCCACAGACATTGCAGCAGTAGGGCCTCTCGTCTGCGCGGATCCTCCCGTCCGGTGAGACGTCTCCTAGCGGTGGGGCGAATGCCTTCCCGCGTCGCGCCCGCTTCATGTGCACGCTCTGATGGGAGCAGAAGTCTCCCGAATTTGCAAAAACTTCATCGCACATCCAGCACTTGTACAGCTTCTCGTCGGCGTGGCTCCTCTGGTGGCCGATCAGAGTGGCTGCTTTGTCCGTGCTGTACGGGCAGTGGGGGCACTGGTACAGCACGGACTCGGTCAGGCCCCTGTGCTGCTTCATGTGGTCCTCCAGGGCGGGCAAGCTGATCACCACCCAGTTGCAGACCGGGCAGTAGATCTTCATCTCTCCTCCCTCGTTCATGGTTCCTGTCTTGGCACTGGGGCAAAGAGTGAGGCACACGAAAGAAAATGAATCTCCCTCGCCCCACCCCTGTGAAGTATCGCAAACAAGGCGTGAAGCTAGAAACCACGGACACCGGTTGCTAACCGTCGAAAAAAGAAAGTGGTTGTCGCTGCGTCGCGTGGCGCTTTCAGATGCTGCTGCTGCTTGTGGCGGACGTCTGGAACGCTCTTCCTCTCCGGTATCAGAAAGCCATTGGGAGCTACGATGCACTTTTAAATCATCATCTAGATTCTAGATTGACAAACTAATTCCTTTAGAATTGCTGCTTGTTGTTGTGTTTAATTTGTAGTCCTTCCCCCGCACCTCTGATTAGCGCGGTTGGCTACTTGTTCTGTTATTCTTGCTGCCTTGCCCAATCTTGATAAATCGAACTTAAACAATTAATTTCCATTTTGCGACTTGCCCTACTTTTGTTCTATTTTGCACTCCTATCGTTTGTTTGTGTGTATCGTGTTTGTGTGTATTGTGTGTTTGTGTGTATGGTGTGTTTGCCGTTGAAAATCACTGACTCCCCATGCCCATACTGGACATCTGTAGAAAAGAGCTTTATAGCTCATCTGATTCCTCCTGCAGTCTAAATAAAGATTCTGATTCTGAGATGACTGGCAGATCCACCACCTATGGCCCCCACTGTGCAAACTTGCTGTGTTTAAGTCGCCTGGCGCTCTGCTCGTTGTTGTGAGTGTCGCTCCTCTGCCCTCTGTTGTTGCTGGAGGGCGACTGCCTCCAACTGCCCAGTAGCAGCGTCCTTAATGAACCTCCTCCTCCACAGAGGCCGATCTTGACACCGCTGGTACCAGTCGTCGGCAAGTCCACTCAGCTCCACATCCTCCCGTACCGCATCAGCGCCATCTCATCTCCAGCCCATACCGCGCCCTTCTAGCCCCCCTCTATCCGGCCAAACAGAAGCTGCTTGGGCGTACGGTGGCTAGGCATGCGGGCTACATGACCCGGCCAACGTAGCCTTGGAGGAGCTCGCCGATGATAGGGACCCTGTCCAGATCCTTCAAGGATTCGTGAGTTCCTCACACTGCGACTCAGCCTACAGTTTAAACCCCCGATGGATCGTAGGCAGGGTCGGCCTGCAGGTTGCAAACCGGCGCAGACACAACAACAACAACAACAAGAACCGCCATTCGCCACAATTTGGCGGTGACATCACCACGGCGCTTGTGCCAGGCTAGGTGCACTTTGAGGCCGTCACGTGAAGTATCCATGCCTCGCTGCTGGCAGGAGGTCACAGGACAGAGACGCAGACACGAAAATGTAAAAAGATCCCTCGTATAGATTTTGTCTTAAAACTTTCGTGACCGCAGGAATTCACATTTTTTTGTTCTTTCGGTAAAGTCACGTAGATAGAAAATACAAATAAAATAAAGTAAGTATTTTAAAAAACTTATTTAAAACACGCTTTTATGAAGTAATGGAAGAAATCCACGACTCCAGGAAGTGGCCCTGACCAATTACAGCCAACGTCAGTTGAGCGTGGATAATTAGAGCCAAGCCGAAACATAACATATAAAAAATGATATTTTTAAAAATGTTTATTTTTTATGATAAAATATAGTATTGTCATCAGTATGACATAATTATTCCAAGTTTGCAGTCGATGCCACATTGGGAAGTGGGTTAAAATGTAGTTACACAATTTGGGGATACGACAACAACAGACAGAGTGAGTTAAATGAAAGAGTGTAAAATAGTATTTAAAAATATTTTTTTTAAACACGCGTTCATGAAATATACCGTACTAGTAATGGAAGAACTCCACAACTCCAGGAGGTGGCCCCGAAGCTTGCCACAACGTAAGGGACCGTGGCCAATTACAGCCAACGTCAGTTGAGCGTGGACAATTAGACCCAAGCCGAAACATAACATTTTAAAATGAATGTTTAAACATACTTTTTTTTTAATAGAATATAGTATTGTCATCAGTATGACATCAGTATACCAAGTTTGCAGTCGATACCACATTGGGAAGTGGGATAAAATTGAGTTACAAGATTTGAGGATATGACAACAGACAATATTTTATGATTTTATTTTTATATTTTTTATATTTTTACTATTTCCCTTCTACGTGACTTTACGGAAAGAACCAATAATATATTCTCTGTCTATTGTTTTATATGTTTATTATTTCCCTTCTACATGACTTTACCGAAAGAACCAAGAATATGAATCTCTGCAGTAACGAAAGCTTTAAATCAAAAATACAGAAAAGCGTTAATAAAGGGCGTGTAAAATAAAATAAAAACCCACGACGTTTCGATCGCAACACAAGCAGCCTTCATCAGGCGGCGAGAAAAGATGACCGCTTGTGTTTTAATTATTAAAAATTGTATTTAATTTTTTATTTTCTATCGACCGAAATAACCAAAGAATATCCCCCGTGTAGCCTTGCCAGACTGTAGGGGCAAGTGCTGTTAGCGATGTTTACCACACACACAGCACCAGCCACACATTTGAGGCCGAGTCGACCTAGGGGAGGCCCAGGACCGGTTCAGATAATCGTCACCGGCGGTGTTGGCCGTGAGCGGGAATCGAACTCGGGTCGCCGGGTTCGTAGCGCTAACCGCTGCACCACCGCTCCCCACAGGAGCAAGCGCGCACACAAAGATAAAGATGCCCCAGGTAGCCTCACACAGGCTACAGTTGCAAGTGCTGCTGTTAGTAGCGAGTAGCAGTACCTATGAAGGGGGTCGGTATCCAGCACCACGCCCGGCCGCCTTTGTCTCTCCCCCAGTGGCGATGTTGAACTTTACAACGCTACACGGAGGCCTCGACTCTCTGTCTCTGTGCGTGACGTCATTCACGGTGTCCACAGCACCCCCCCCTGGCGTTGGTGACATGACGTCACGCAACCTGCAGTCGCGAGCAAATGACGTCATCCCCATCGTATTAAGGACACACCCCTCCGCCGCACAGGACCGACGACGTCACGTGCCGAGTAGGGGGGTGGCGTCACTCGCGTCTCCCAGCGGCCCGCCACTAGTGGCGTGACGTCACGCTCGCGGCGAGATTGACGACACGACGTCAGACCGGCGCGCGCCTGCCAGGGTGGGGGGGGGGGTGTAGGGTTACGTCACGAAGGGGCTGGATGCGAGTGACGTCACCGCTACAAAGACAAAGATCCCCCTACCCGTACCCTGAGCGACGGTGACGTCACCGCGGCGCCCGTGCCCAGGTGCACTTCGAGCCCGATAGATTACGTCATATTACCGTCTCCAGCTGAACCCGCCCCCATCCATCCCGAGCGTGACGTCACCCAGCCATCTTCGGGCGCGATGACGTCACGCGCGCGGTGGTGCTGCGAGTGAGTGACGTCACCCGTTCCTTGTGCGAGACTCGCTGCGGTGAGCGGTGGCGAGGAATCTCATCATCATCATCACGGTGACTAGGAGATGTTAACTACCTCGCCTGGTGTGCAGGAGGTCGTGGGTTCGATCCTGACCATGACAACGCCTGCTGCTGCTGTATATATGAAGTTTGCGTGTCTCTCATCATCATCACGTTGACTAGGAGATGTTGACTACCTCGCCTGGTGTGCAGGAGGTCGTGGGTCCTATCCCGACCCTGACCATGCCTGCTGCTGTATATTTGTAGTTTGCGTGTCTCATCATCATCATCATGGTGACTAGGAGATGTTGACTACCTCGCCTGGTATACAGGAGGTCGTGGGATCGATCCAGACCCTAACGCCTGCTGCTGTATATATGAAGTTTGCGTGTCTCTCATCATCATCACGGTGGCTAGGGGATGTTGACTACCTCGCCTGGTGTACAGGAGGTCGTGGCTTCGATCCTGACCCTGACAACGCCTGCTGCTGTATATTTGGAGTCTGCGTCTCTCTCTCATCATCATCATCATCACGGTGACTAGGAGATGTTGACTACCTCGCCTGGTATGGAGGAGGTTGTGGATTTGATCCCACCCCTGACGCCTGCTGCTGCTGTATATTTGGAGTTTTACATGTATCTCACCGTGGTCAGCGTGGATTTATCTCCGGGTCCTCTGGTTTTTTTCCCCCTCCACGTTCAGAGAGTATTTGGCGGAAAAATAAATGTTCGCAGGATAAGCCACTTCGTCAATGGGCTGTCATCTGCGACGGCCGCAGGCGCTTGTGAGAAAGAGCTACCCCATAGCTGGGGCCTTGCACCTGGTAACAAGGGAGCATCCTAGATTTGAATTTTTCGTGACTGCAAGGATCCATACTCTTTGGTTCTTTCGGTAAAGTCATGTCGGTGAAAAAAGAAAAATAAGAATACAAATTAAAATTCGATTTTTTCTATTTTTATTATTTTTTGTTGAAATTTTTTCACCTACGTGACTTTACTAAAAGAACCAAAGAGTAAGGGAACATATTCTTTGGTTTTTTCGGTAAAATCACGTAGGTAATTTTTGTTTTAATTAATAAAAATAAAATAAAAATCACGACGTTTCGGAGGCAACACAAGCTTCCGTATTCAGGTGGAACCGTCACAGCACGATAGATGTATCAAATAAGATACAGCGTAGCGCTAACGATTGTGTCAAATGTGAAGATGTCGAACATGTAAAAGGAAGGAATTTCCGCGTGCCTCCCTGCGTGCCCCAGTGCCGACGCGGACGGACGGACGGAGATATGAAGATCTTCTGCCCGATCTGCAAGTGGCTCGTGGTCAGCCTACCTGCCCTGGACGACCACATGAAGCGGCACAGGGGGTGGACGGAGCCCGCTCTGTTCCAGTGCCCCCACTGCCCGTTCAACACGGACAAGCTAAACGTCTTCATCGGCCACCAGGCGACGCACGACGCGCGCGAGTCGCACAAGTGCTCCGAGTGCGGCAAGGTGTTCATCGACACCGAGGTCTTCCGCGAGCACCGGGCGGCGCACGCCCGGGAGAAGCCCTACAAGTGCACGATGTGCGAACTTGCGTTCAACCGCTCGGAGGATCTTCACGAGCACCAAAAGACTCACACCGGCGGCAAGCCCTACCACTGCACCGTCTGCGGGATGGAGTTCACGCGCTCGGAGCACCTCCGCAACCACCAGAGGATCCACACGGGCGAGAAGCCCTACGGGTGCGCCACGTGCGGAAAACGGTTCGCTCGCTCGGGGGCGCTTGTCATTCACAACAGGATCCACACGGGCGAGAAGCCGTACGTGTGCGCTGCGTGCGGCAAGGCGTTCACCGAGTCGGGGGCCCTGAGCGTGCACAGGAGGACCCACACGGGCGAGAGACCCTACAGGTGCACGGTGTGCGCGAAGGCGTTCGCAGATCCGGGGACCCTCTCCACGCACAGCAGGATCCACACGGGCGAGAGGCCGTACGCATGCGCCGAGTGCGGCAAGGCGTTCGCTCGCTCCGACACGCTCGTCAACCACAAGAGGGTCCACACGGGAGAGAGGCCGTACACGTGCGCCGTGTGCTGGAAGGCCTTCGCCGAATCGGGCGCGCTGAGCGCCCACAAGAAGATCCACGCGAGGGAGAGCGCCTGCGACTGCGGTGAGGCGTCGACGCCGTCGGGCGGCTGCCCCGCCGCCGGAAGCGCGGACGCGGCGGGCGGAGGGAGCGTGACGAGGAGGAAGCGTCGCGAGTGCATCGCGCGCAAGGGGGCGACGGCCGCCCTAGTGGAGCCGCCTGACTCTGGGGGTGAGCGTGCGACTTTCCCCGGAGAGGCGGCGGCGAGCCCTCCTCCTCTTCCTGCGCCCGCCGCGTCGGAAGAAGAATGCCGGGAAAAGCCCGCCGGCTTCGTCGGGACGCGCCCGCGGGTAATGAAGGCGGAGAGCAGAGGCGGAGACGCGTCCTCGGCGAAGGTGAAGGAGGAACGGGAAGGGAACGTCGGAGGCTTCGAGGCGTGGCCGGGGGTGAAGGTGGAGCCCGGTGGCGAGGTTGTTCCGTGCCGTCCCCCCTCCCTGCCGATCGTGAAGCGGGAGCCTGAGGATTGCCACGGGAGCGAGACGGAGCCGCGGGTAAAGTTGGAACACGGAGCTCAGGACTCCTCCGTCTCCCTGTTGAGTGTGAAGCAGGAACCGGAGGAAATCCTCAGTTGAGACTCGGCTGAGGGGAAGGGGTCAAGTTAGAACTTGGAGCTCAAGATTGCTCGGTCTCCCTGTCGGTCGCGAAACGGGAACTGGAAGGATGAGGCCCTCGTTTGAGAAGCGATGTCGAGGTCGATGCGAACGACGTGGAGATGGGAGGAAGACGCCGGACAGCCATGGACCGCCGTTGGCGTGGAAGTATCGCTAAAGAATGGAGTCGAGACAAGAGGGTGGAGGGTGGATCACGTGGAGCAGAGGACAGACCCATTTCGATCTGTGCAGAAGCACCAGGAATGTGAGTGTGCGTGTCCGTGTGTGTATGGGGAGCGGTGGTGCAGCGGTTAGCACTACGCTGTGCTAAGAACTCGGCGACCCGAGTTCGATTCCCGCTCACGGCCAACACTGGGGACGATTATCTGAGCCTCCCCTAGGTCGCATGAAATGAGTACCTGGTGCGATGTGTAATCATTGTCGCTGAGGAGACAAAGGCGGCCGGGCGTGGTTGCTGGCCTTCATAGGTGCTGGCTAATGGCACTTGTCCCAACAGTCTGTTACGGGCTATACGGGGGATCTTTGTATTTTTATCGTTCTAACCATACGTAGCCAACCGTGCTTATTGGAGGTGCGATGTGTAGCGCGGCAGTTTATTTAAAAATAATTTGGCCTCCGCGGCCGATGCAAACATTTCCACATGGGACTGCCCAGCCACCCCTGGTGACAAAAACGCATTCAATTTTCTCTCTCTTGACCTCTCGACCTCTAAACACCACATATACTAAAATAATTCTTATTACCGGAACATTTGTCTGTCTTTTTTTAAACTAAGATATCGGGGAGGGGGGAGGGTGTTTTTAAGAGGGGTGGCCCCGTTTTGATTTTAGGGTATAGTTTTAGTTTTAATCACAGGGGGTAGTTTACTTAACAACTTCATTTCAACGAAATGTAAGTTACAAAAATTTGAATGCATTTCTGAAACAAAATTGGACCAATACAGGAGAAATCTCTCTGAGCACAAGGTAAGATTTTTGTTGTAGGTACAGTAAATATTTATTAAGACTGTTAAGTGATTTGGCCGTTAAGCAACTATAGGAAATGCACGTCAAAATCTTAATCCGTTACGACAGGACCTAAAGTTAACCCTTTTTCACCCCAAAAAACGTACTTATGCAATATTTGAACGGTGGATATTAATACGTAAAGATACTACCAAAATCATGGGGACCTCCTTTGCCAGTGTAACGGGTTCCGGAGACACTTGTAGAGGTAACTTCTTTATTACGATTCAACAGCACTCCAACAGTCCAACACTCCAACACTCCAACTCTCCAACTCTCCAACAGTCCTGATACTCTGTTACAGCCTAGGTTCACAGCCTAGGTACACAACCTAGATACTCTACTCTGGCTACGCTCTGGAACTCGCCCTCACAAGGTCGTAGAGTCGGGAGTTCCAGAGTCCCACCACTGGCTCTCACAGCGTCCCAGGGTCCTCCGATGGCTGGTCTTGGGTCTTGGGTCTTGAGCTACGACTGGCCCTGATCGTCCAGGGAGCTCCCCTTTTATGCCCAGTCCCCAACGAGGGGTGGGGCCGTGTGCGCCCCCAGATATCCCACAGAGCACACACAGCCCCCCCCTTTGGCGGCGCCAAGGGAATTAAGCGCCTGGGAACCCAACGCCTGATGCCAAGAGGCTTAAGTGTCTGACCCGCCTGGGAACCCACGCCTGGCGCCAAGAGGCGCCAGGCGTGGGCCCCCAGCAGCCCCTCCCTTCTTATGTCACTACACCAGTATCAAAATATGAGAGTAGGTTTTCCCCTTTTTCTGGCAACAAAACAGCTGTGTTAAGATGTTAAAACACCAAACTGAAACCTTCTACAAAAAATCATGTCTGCATTGACCACAATACTTGTGGTCAGAATGCAAACAAAAACCGTACTTTGATAACACTGGTCAACACACTTTTTCTGGCATAAGGAATTCCAACGGATTTAAGGTAATTTTGGGGTGCTGATTCCAAATCTGGCATCAGTTTTCGTCTATCTTTGCATACTGACCACGAGTATTGTGGTTAATGCAGACATGATGCCTTGTAAAAGGTTTCAGTTTGGCGTTTTAACATCTTAACACAGCTGTTTTGTTGCCAGAAAAAAGGGGAAAACCTATTCTCATACTACCAATAGTATGAACACATAACGTTAAAAAAAACGTGGTTAATGCATTAATGAATATTTACTGTACCTACAACAGCCCGTCGTTAACAGGGGAATGGTCGGTAAGCGAACACATTGAGCTCTATGACTATTGAGGCACTACACTACACTATACACTACTATACACTACACTATACACTACACATTGAGCTCTATTGAGGCACTACACTACACAACACAGACGAGACAAGATGGATATCGAGACGGAGACAAGACGAAGATAATGGCGGAGAAGAAGACGGAGATAAGACAAAGGCAAGATAAAGACGACGGAGACAAGATAGAGACAGAAACAAGATGGCGACGGAGACTAGTCTTCCATGGCGGCAGCAGCAGCAACGTCACAGCGAGTAGTGACGTGGCTATGCCGTGCAGCAGGAATCCCGCGAGCTACAGAGGTGGAGCGCAACTGGGCGGGGCTCTGGGCAGGCTCTCTGTGTGCGGCTTTAGCGGTGGGGGGTGGGGGAAGGTTTTTGCTGTCCAGGCACCGAAAGAAAAAAATAAGTGATATTAAAAAAAACTTTTTTAAAAACACGCTTTAATGAAATGTACCGTACTCGTAATGAAAGAACTCCACGACTCCATGAAGTGGCCCCGAAGTTTGCCGTAACGTAAGGGGCCGTGGTGATTTAACAGGCAACGTCAGTTTACCGTGGACAATTAGAGCCAAGCTGAAACATAAAATTTCACAAATAATATTTTAAAATCTTTTTTACATTTTTCTGATCGAATATGTCATCAGTAACAGGACCCTGCGGGGTGGGCTGGTAGGAACGAACAATTGAATGGCTATAATAAAATGAAATGGCAAAAAATGGCCGCCAATAAGTGGATGCCCCGTGGCCCCGCCCTCCACCCGCGTAACCCCGCCCAGGCCACCCGTGGCCCCGCCCCATCTCCGTGTCCCCGCCCCCAGCTCGTTGCTCCATCCCTTACCGCCGTAACCCCGCCCCAACCCCGCGTAGCCCCGCCCTCCACCTCGTGCTCACGCCCCCTGCCGCCGTTGCCCCGCCCAGCCCCGCCCCCTGCAGCTGTAGCCCCGCCCAATACACCCCTAGCGGGGGAGAGATTCCCAGGCCTGGATCTAGGCTGGAGAGCCACCGACGAGGGGGGGGGGGGGGTAGGGAGTTGTTTTTAATGTAAAAGCTTTAAATGTAAATGTTTCTATTAAAAAAACATCCGGGAATGTAACATTGCTAAACATTAACTCCCTTTCACACACGCGGGGGAACTATACGAAGGGAGAGTTTGAGGCCTAGTTCTAGGCTTTAGGCCTAGCTGTAGGCTTTAGGCTGCTGTGAGTTAAATTTTAACTTACAAGTTTTAATTAAAAGCTATCTCAGGGAATTATAAGGGAATGTTGCACTTGTTTAGGCAGGAAAGCCTCATTAATTTAAACGTTTTAATTAAAAGCTATCTGAGGGAATTATAAGGGAATGTTACACTTGTTTAGCCAGGAAATCGTCACTGAGTCTAAAGGTTTTTGTAGGGTCATGCCAAGTGTTTGCAATAGGGGGCGATGTTGCTACACAGACGGACGGAAGAACGGACGGACGATATAATCTACTAGCATAAGTACCCGGCGTTGCCTGGGTGAAAAATATATTTCTTAATAACCTTACATATATACACAGATGGGCTGCTACCCCTGCCCCCCCAGCCACGATCTCGGCCGCTGTGCAGTAATATGTACGGCCTATAGTGTGGTGGGGTGTCGAGGCCTAGTACCGTGTAGAGCCTCCGGCCTCGCCTAAATTGCCCACCCGGCTGAGGCTGGGTACGGGTGCCGTTCCCCCCCCCCCCCCGCGCTACAATAATATTGTCTAATCGCTATAATTTTATTATCTACCGACCCTATAATAGTAATTGCACACATTGGCGTGGGGGGGGGGAGTAAAGAGGACGTGAAACTTTGATGAATTTACCTCAGAGTCGCGTGTTAATACATGCGCATATTTTTAACGGGAATTAAAAATGGCGTTCACCCCGCAGCGAATGCGTCGCTACCCGTTGCCAGGGGCAACCGCCGTGGAAAACCAAACGGACCAATCGTGTCTTGCAAATCCCTCACATTTCGTCCAATGAAACTGCGTATGGTCCGGCGACACACAGACAGACAGACAGATTTGCGATTTTATATATATAGACTAGCAGAAGTACCCGGCGTTGCCCGGGTGAAAAATATATTTCTTAATAATCTTACATATATACACAGATGGGCTGCTACCCCTGCCTCCCCCCCCCCCAGCCACGATCTCCTCGGCCGCTGTGCAGTAATATGTACGGCCTATAGTGTGGTGGGGTGTCGAGGCCTAGTCCCGTGCAGAGCCGCCGGCCTCGCCTAGATTGCCCACCCGGCTGAGGCTGGGTACCGGGGCCGTTACCCCCCCCCCCCCCCCGCGCTACAATAATACTGTCTAATCGCTATAATTTTATTATCTACCGACCCTATAATAGTAATTGCACACATTGGGGTGGCGGGGGAGTGAAGAGGACGTGAAACTTTGATGAATTTACCTCAGAGTCGCGTGGTGGGTGTCGAGGCCTAGTACCGTGCAGAGCCTCCGGCCTCGCCTAAATTGCCCACCCGGCTGAGGCTGGGTACCGGGGCCGTTACCCCCCCCCCCCCCGCGCTACAATAATACTGTCTAATCGCTATAATTTTATTATCTACCGACCCTATAATAGTAATTGCACACATTGGGGTGGCGGGGGAGTGAAAGAGGACGTGAAACTTTGATGAATTTACCTCAGAGTCGCGTGGTGGGTGTCGAGGCCTAGTACCGTGCAGAGCCTCCGGCCTCGCCTAAATTGCC